GTCCTATGCACGGTGGGAGGCCCCTTGGCCAAGTATGGAAGCCATGGACAAAGGCAAGAGGAGCAAAAGGGAAGGAGAGGAAGCAAGAAAAGGAAGTGCAAGAGGAGGTGTGGCCGAACCTCTGAAAGGTCCGGTCAAACCTAGGTGTGGTAAAACTTTTGAAAAGTTTGACCAAACCTCCTGGGTGCAGTGAAGGCAGTGTCAAACCAGTTTTCAGCAATTTTGCAGGAGAGGTCGAACCTCAAAAGTTCGACCAAACAAGGATCAGGGAGGTTCGACCGAACCTACACAGAGTTCGACCGAACCTACCCTGAGTCCGACCGAACCTACCCAGAGTTCGGTCGGACCTTTTCCCGATCTCAGCCAATTTTGTACGGACTATTTAAGGTCCTTTTGAGATCGTTTTTCGGGGGAGAGAAGAAAAACAGTAGAATAGTTTTCAGCAAAAAAGATACTCTCTCTTAGTTAGCAACTTCATTAAATTAGTTGATTTAGTTTTAGAAACTCTCAAATCTAATCATTGTAGAAGCAAATTTCAAGATTTATCTCAAGAATTTCAGCAATTATCCAACATTTTTGAAGCTTCAATAGTAACTTCTTTCATTTTTCCTTCATTATTTTCTGATTTTATTTTTTGTTTTGTAAGCCACTTGATTTTCTCTCAATCTTGATATATTGTTGTTGCATGTTAGCTTTGTCCATAGATAATCACATGTTTTTCCAAATCTTAGATACGCTTATAATCCAAGCTTGGAATTTGCATGTACTCACAATGAATTGTGAGTAGTCCTCTTGGCTAGGGGTTGGGTGAAACTCAACCTATTGGTGATTATGTGAGTTTGGGAGTGATTTTGATGATGGATTGCGACTAAACTTGATTATATGGGATTGCTTGTTAGTTCTTCATGATAGGAGTAATTAACCTAGATTATTGAACTTGATGGCATGAAATGTTTGGTTCGACATGGAAATGTGAGTTGAATGTTTCATTACCTATTGCAATATGATTATGTATCTTTTGTTGCTAAGTTAATGAGGGATCTAAGCTTAGTAATCTGAGTTGTTTTCATATCGTTTGATGTTGATCTTACATGTGGTCTTTGCTATTCCATTACCCTCATTCCTCCCTATTTGCCTAATTGCTATTGGTTGAGTGAATCCCATTCCCCTAGTGTTTTAATCCCTTGAATTCAACCTTTAGTTGTAGTTTGTTAGTTAATCACCACTTATACCTTGATTTCGATTTAGCTTGAGCATTAAGATTATTTAGCATTTGATTCCCGTTCTCCGTGGACCGAACCTTTGCTTGCCATTGTACTTGTTTGAGTGAGGTGTTTGTTATAAATGTGTTTGAATGAGCCTAAATTAAGCGACCGATTTAGCGCTCGTCAAAATGTCGACCTCTAGGTCGCTCGACCCCTTCAGGTTCCTCGTGATCCAAGCATGACGTGTTGAACATGTCATGAAGTACGTGGGTAGCATCACGAATGATTGAAGGGTGGCTGGAGGACACTTGGTCAAACATCGCACGAAACTACTCTAACTCTTCCTATTCACGGTGGACCATCTGTGGAACAGCATGCTCCCCCATAACGAGCGTCCGCCAGAATGGATGAACCTGATCAACATGTAATGACGCCCTATCTTGTGTAATTACGCGGTGCATGGTGCATGCACAAGGTAGTCCATGAGTCACTGATATAGCACATCCGCACCGAATAGCCACTTCATCACCCAACTCCCTCATCCTGTTGTCCTCGCGCAGAATCAACCCTAAGTAGTAGTGTGACACATGACCATGGAGAATCTTAAATATGAAATGGTTATACATCATGCCATGTCGCCGTATAGAGTCCTCGAGAGAGTTCTTGATGCCGTTCTTCTGAGTATCAATAGCCTTGTTTATTCTCTCGAACACTGTATCCAGAGCAGAAGTGGAAGAATCAATCCAGTCCTTCAAAGCTCTATGAGCGCCCTCAACTCTACATGTTGTAGTAATTCCAAAATGAAGAACTTGGTTTGTCCAATATTTGACAAACTTTTCCCTCTGAGGTATCCACTGCTGCATCACATACTCTACCATTGCCGGGCACCATTGGTACGCATCTTTGAAGTTATCCAAGGCTCGATCGTACTCTGCCTCCGTGGTAGCTTGCAGGATCTTCCGCCACTTACCATTTACCAATCTCTCTGCTGAATCTAAAATCTTGTTGAAAAGGTTGTAGGCTTTGACTTTCACACAGTTGTTGATGTGCCATGTGCACAGTAAGGCTCGGCTCCGGAAACAGCTCTGCTATAGGGGCAAAGAGATCTCCCTCACAATCACTGACGATGGCTGATGGCTGAACATTTGGGCCAATGTAATTTCTCAACTTCTCCAACACCCAATAGTAACTCGCAGCCGTCTCATCCTTCATGATTGCATAACCAATCAGAAAGTTTTGGTTCGTTGGAGCCATTCGAACCATCTCAACTAGTGGGAACTTGTACTTGTTTGTCTTGTACATTGAATCGATCAAAATCACAGATGGCCAAGACGAAATCATATCAGCATAATCAGGATGCACAAGGAACAAATAAGTCACCTCCGATGTGTCTTCATCAGATTCAAACCAGTACAGGTAACCACGTGCTTGTGCCTGGTGTAGAAGCTGCTGTATAGGGTTCCTTCCCTCTAACCGTTCAAGCCTCAATTTCTGTCTGACGTTGTAGATGTGTCTTCGGTTTGGCTGGTTTTCAGGATATTTCTCTAACACAGATGCTAATATTTTTGCAGGCTTCACTTGAGCATCACTCATTTCTCTTACAACTAGTTTCGCCGCAGGACTTAGGCTGCTTAACTGTCGATGAACCACTTCATATATACTATCATCTCATGGTTGTGATACCCCCATTTACCGTAACCCTTCATTTCTCAACCGTCATACCTTTGCTATTGTCGAAGCTTTACTCTGAACTGACACCCACAACCTTTCCGCTTTATATCAAACCGAATCCCTTGACTGAAATCTCGTTCCTCCCTTTTACGATAACGGTTACATCTCAAAATGCGATCCATTCTACCATCTCGTTGAGATTTATGACTTGCTACTACTAAACAAAAACCTGATCTAATTGCAACCTGTTTGCCTAATCAATCGCTTGTTGAGCATCTTCGTACAGACCATCATGTACAAAACTCCCATTATAATCATTTTCGTCTCCACCATAATCCTACAACAATGACACATAAATATAATTACATAAGGATTAAATTAATAAATTTGACACAAAATTAACACAGAAGTAATTTCAAAATTTTAAATTTCTAAATTTCATTTCTATATTTAACGCATAATACATTTAATATCTAAATTTACACATAATTAATACAAAATTAACACGTAATTATATATAAAAGTATTCACACACATACAAATTAAAACATAAATTTGTTTATTTTTTGAAATTATTAACACATATTAAAACATAATTTCAAAATAAACCATAAATTTGTTTTTTTTTTTACAAATTATTCACACATATTTCAAACATAATTTCAAATTAAATTTTGTTTTTTTTAAAAAAAATTATTAACACATATTTAATTTCAAATTTATCAAAATTAAAAAAAACAAAAACAAAACTTTAAATAAAATTTAAAAACCAAAAAAAATAAATTGGTGGAGGTGGCGCCTACCAGGGACGCCAGCACCGTGGCTGGGGCGCCTGGTCAGGACGCCGCCACCATAAATTAATACATTGACACAAAATTAACAAAGGAGTAATTTCTAAATTTTAAATTTCTAAATTTCATTTCTATATTTGACGCATAATACATTTAATATCTAATTTACACATATTAACACAAAACTAACACGTAATTATATATAACAGTATTCACACACATAGAAATTAAAACATAAATTTGTTTATTTTTTGAAATTATTAACACATACTAAAACATAATTTCAAAAACCATAATTTTGTTTTTTTTTTTAATTATTCACACATATTTCAAACATAATTTCAAATTAAATTTTGTTTTTTTTAAAAATTATTAACACATATTTAATTTCAAATTTATCAAAATTAAAAAACAAAAAAAAACACAAAAAACAAAAACAAAACTTTAAATAAAATTAAAAAAACAAAAAAAAAAATTAATTGGTGTAGGTGGCGCCTGGCAGGGACACCACCTCCACGGTGGCGGCGTCCCGGCCAGGCGCCACCTCCACGGTGGCGGCGTCCCGGCCAGGCGCCACCTCCACGGCGATGGCGTCCCGGCAAGACGTCCGCCACCAATTCGTAATTTTAAATGACTAAGTATCTCGTTTTCCGGCGACGATGACGACTCTCGGGTGCATCTCACCAACGATGACAGCTCTTCGGTGTCCCTCGGCGATCCAGTGCTGCTCCACATTTTTGGTGAGAGAAAATTTCGATTTCGGTAAAAATTAAAAAAAGGGGCAAGATTGTCAAACTTTTACAAAATGTGGGCTTTAAGTAGAAAAATGTGGGCGATTTTTAACAACTCCCCTTTATTTTTGTTAGTCTTATTTGAAATTTCTTTAGATTCCAATGCAAAAATCAATCAATATTGGGCTTAGAAGATCCTTAATTAGCAATTTGTGCAATGATCAGGTCTTTTTTTTTTTTTTTTTTTTTCCTTTTAACATAATTAGGTCTTTACGACCTAGTAGTTTCTGCCTTTCTGAGAGATTTAGAATGCTCTTTATCATTTGGACCCCGTCCGTTTTTTTACCTTGGATCCAGATTCGACCCGGATCTATTGGGTCTGGAAAACGAAGACCGGGATCTAGATTCGACGGGTCCACTGGATCCGGGTCCGGGTCCAAAACAAATTCTACACGTTTTTCCTAATTTTATGCAACAAATGTAATGTTCAAATAAAAAAATGCATTACAAACTTCCGTTGGGGGATTATTAAGTTTAATACCTAAATTAAAGGTATACAACTAGTACAAAGCAACCAATTTATATACTTGTCTTTTTGAGAAAAAAAAAAAAAAAAAAAAACACTACAAACAATACAAAAAAATACTACGGAGTATGTTACAAATGAGCAAGTGAAAAAACAACAATGATGTATCCGATATGAGCATTCAAAATTTATCTCCCGAAAGGGATAATTTTCATTACTACTAAACATCGTCAACATTCTAGAATATAGAAACAAACAATTTTAGTCTTTTTTTTAAGGAAAATTATAAACCAGGTAAACGAATCTAGGTCCGGGGGTTAGACCTGGATCCAGACCTGTTGTTTTCAATAGGATCCGGATCTGTTGGGTCCAAAATTTGAAGACTCATATCCGTGAACAACGGATCTAGATCTATGGATTCGGGTCGGGTTCAAATCCACTGTCATCCCTACATGATTTGTAAGTTACCAGCTTGTACTTTGATGAAAGTAGTAAAAGTATAAAAATTGCCTTTTATTTCACGAGTTTGGACTTTTTTTAATACAACTTTGAGACAATTTAGCCCCTTTGTTTTATAATAAATGCAACATTTACAATATTCACTCACTTCAAATTAAAATTATTGCAATACTTACCTAATTAAAAAAAAAAAAAAACTATAAGTGACCTACGCAAAATTAGTTCTTCAACTCAACTCATTTCATAGTTACAACTATGTTTTTGTGATAAGTTCCAAAAGCAACCTAAAATTCTTGTTGGAACTCCCATCAGGGGCAACAGCTTTTCCAACCAAGTGTTTAAGGCTTTTGATATTTGCCCTCATTTTCTTCCCTTCATCACTCGACAAAATTCGATCCAAACTCTTCAATATTCCTTCCTTTGTAAAAGTCTCTCCTTCAACTTGTAGTCCAATCTCCCAAACGGCCTCTACTAGTCGTCCATTCAACTTATGATCACCGAAGAAGGGCCGCCCGATCATCGGAACCTCTGCAGCTATACTCTCAGTCATGGAATTGTAACCTCTGCAGCTATACTCTCAGTCATGGAATTGTAACCAAAGTGGGTGATGAACACCCCTATTGCATCATGAGCCAGGACTTCTATTTGGGGTACCCAAGAGACCACCATGCCATTTTCTCTGCTTTTCTCCAGGAAATCGTTAGGAAAATGTACCTGTAATAATTTTGGTCACGTAAAAAGGTTCAATGCAACATATTTATTAGTCTAAAGTTGTAAATGATTAATGCGTATCTATCATATGACCAATTATAAAAACACTTTAACAACTACATAAACAAAAAAAAAAATCAAAGACGAGGGGTTGGAAGATTGTTGAGATCTTCTACCTCCAGCACCCATGGTCAGGGTTTGATCCTTCTACCCCCGACCATGGGTGCAGAAAGTGATACAAGGTCGAAAATTTACAAGGAGCATACCTTTAGATGATTCTTGATTGACCACAAAAACTTGACTCCACTAGCTTGAAGAGCCTCAGCCAGAGCAAAAAGCTCATTTGGTGTTGGTGTAGCAGCAGAACCAAAACTCACATAAACAACAGAATTAGCCTTTTGTTTGTCAAGCCAACCTAAACAATTATAATTGTCTGCTATTTTTTGTGGTGCAATTACTAAGTTTAGTGGATCAATTGGAAAAGTCTTTGAGAATTTAGACTTTAAATCATTTGTAACAACCGGGTCCAATTCTTCACAAGAGCTAATGCAAACTGAACTTGCATTAGGTAAAACTTGACTCATTTTATGTAGCATTTGAGCAAATGGTGAATCAAGATTTCCTGTTACAATTCCATCTGGTATGTCTTTCACCCTGATCTTGGTTAGTCCTGGTATAAAATCCAGTGTTTCGTCTTCTCTTGCTTCAACGCCTTCATTGGTCCAACAATAGAAAAATTATACAAGTACTTAGTAAGATGTTTGACTTCACTAGAAATCTCCGGTGGTCGAGTTTTAGTTATACAACCACAAGTGTTTCAATTTAAAAAATAAATAAATAAAAAAGGTTTTATGAGGAAGGAAATTTTTTCAGAAACCACCTTTTTTAAGCACTTTTTTATTTTGTGAAAAACGACCTTATAAATTTTCTTTGATAAGAACACATGAAGTAAGAATTTTTTTGCAAGATAACACCTTAGACTGGATATTGACCCTATTTTCCGGCATTGACCCTCACATGAGGGTCACGTACTCAACCCCTCCCTTTATTTTTATTTTTTTTTCCACCAATTACTTTCTCTCTCCTCAATTACTTTCAGAAAAAAGAGTTTTAAAAGCTGAATTCTGACAAATTTTCCTATAAGGAATGTAATACAAATATTAGAATTTTGTTTTCATAATACTCTCTTTATCTCTTATTATTTTTTTGGCACTATTTAATCTAAAAAGTTCTCATAAAAAGCATGAAAATATTTATATACTCTCGGTAAGGTGCACTAAGGATATTTTTTGTTTTATTTTTTATTTTATTTTTTTTAAGTTTTAAAATGAGCAGGACTTGTGTTTGATACATGGATACTGATTGAAATTAATTCCATCAATCAAAATTCTCATTAATTGACTTATTTCAAAACAATTCAGAAAAAGATTTGAAAAAATAAGGTTTTTTTTTTTTTTTTTTTTTTTTTTTTTTTGATGAAAGAGAAGGGATTGAAAAAATAATTTCATTAAATCAGAAAAATTAAATTCCAATCAAATTAGATAATAAAAATATATAAGGTAGGTGAGCCATAAGATCGAGGGACGCACAATTAGCCCTGTGTCGCGCCCTCAATAGATATTTATTTGACACCGTACCATTACTTCTTGTTACTAGTTATTCAATTTATTACCATTTCGTTTTAATAGGGTTTGGGGTTTGGTTGCAATATAGTTCTTTTTTTTTTTTTTTTTTTTTTTTTTTTTTGAGGAAAACTTTCCAAACAACACTAATCTTCATTCATAGGGAGATTAAGTTTCAAAGAACGAGCAATACAAGACGGAAAGAAAATTCGACAACCAAATACTACTACCTACACTCCATGGCATGCAATGAGCAAGCGCATGAGTTACTTTATTCATTTTTCTTTTCATAATAAATTTATGTAAATTAGTTTTTAATATTATTGAAATTAAAAAAATTGTCAAACATTGTTTTTCATCCAATCATCCATCAATGGAAATCATGCCCATTGTCAAAATTTGATCTAATCCGTTCATCAATTCGTTTCATTTAGTAATAGTAATGCCAAAATTGGTTTAATTTCTCCTAATTTTTCATATGGGTATTTGGATACCAAGGTTTCTTATAATGGGGGGTGGTTCAAATACTTCAAATACTGTGCTTCTAGGTTCAATTTCATCAATAGTAATAATGATCCACATCAGTAATTTGAGGTTGGTAGTTTGTCTAGGTGTGACATATAATATGTCTACAATTGACTTTTAGCCTTCATGATGAATATCACCACAAAAAAGACATTTTTTTTTTGTCAAGAGTAATTTTTTAAATTTTTGTTTGGCAAAGTCAGACCTTAATAAAAAAAAATTGTTACAAACTAACATTACTCTACTTTCGGGCTTTAACCAACAAAATTTTGGTGTTGACTTGTTTGTGTAGGGCATGTGACTCTTACTTTCCTTATTGCACCCCTTTTCCCCTCTAATATAATAACATATAAAGTTTAAGTGCCTTTGGAATCTCGGTCTCAATAAGGAAATTATGAGTGAAATGGGGTGCAATTAGGGAAATAAGGAGTCACGTGCCCTATATAAGTGAGTCAACGCTGGAAATTGTCGAACAACGCGTGAAAGTTGAGTAAGGTTATTTCTAACATTTTTTTTTATTTTATTAAGGTTTAACTTTGCCAAAAAAAATTAAAAGGTTGTTTTTCAAAAAAAAAAAAAACAAAAAAATTACTAACTGTAGAAAATATTAAAAAAACTCAAACGACTAAATTGCCCTTAAAATAATTATAACTCCCAATCTATTATTTTCTATATCTACTGTTAAGGAATATTCTCAAACCATGAAATGCAGCGAATCAACAATGAGCTTCGTCCCCATTTAAGGGATAATTTTGTCCTACGACAATCTACGACACTTGTGGTTCACGTGGTTTTATGATATGTGATGTGGATCAGATCTCCATATCCTCCTATAATTAATCTTGTTCTTTTCGATTCTTGAAAATTGAAAAAGAAAATCAAGAGGGTACCATTATCGTCTTCTCCATCTGGTAGTTAGCTTCGACTTCTGGCACTCAGATCCAACAACCCAAGTTGACTGCTGGCCAAAGGAATCAGTAACTTTGGCCATGTACTCAGTGACACGATTTTTAAAACAAATTTGAATATATTAGAACATAATTTATGTCTTAATATGAATTTGAAGTATGTACTATGTAGTAGCTAATGTCACGAATTGACTTGATATAGTTGATCTCATGTAGTTTGATATCATAATTCATTTTGCAGAGAAACGTTTTTGATTTACTAGGCCCCAGCATTTCAGATCGGTACCCTCTATTAGACCCCGGAAATTCGAACCAATATCCCCTATTAGGCTCCTGAAATTCGAACTGGAATCCCCTATTAGGCCCCTAAAATTCGAATCAGTACCCTCTTTTAGGCCTTGAAAATTCGAGCCGTTACCCTCTTTTAGGCCTCGAAAATTCAAACCGGTACCCTCTATTAGGCCCCGGAAATTCGAACCAGTACCCCTTATTAGGCCCCGAAAATTCGATCTGGTACCTTGTGTTAAGCCCTGTAAATGTCTCGTATAAGTTGGAAATTTAGTTGTGCGACTATTCTTCTAATAATATATGAAGTATAAGATTTTGCGGCAAAAAAACAATAGCACGAAACATACATACCTTAAAAAGTTCGTTGTAGTGCAATTTATCATTGTACATGAATCCGTACAAAATTAAATATTTACTATATGGAACCAAACATATTATTAATGTGGGATGCACATAGGGCTGTACACAGTTTGATCTGAATCATAACCACACTAGACCAAACAGTAATTTAGAGGTTTGGTTTGGTTTAAGGTTTATAAAAATACGGTTTAGTTTAGGATTTTTTTGTAAATACGGTTTACGTTTTGGTTTGGTTTTTCAAAAATTACAAACCAAACCAAACCGTAAAACAGTAAACCGTATTTTAATATTTATATAATTTTTAAATAAATTAAAAAACTATTATATATTAAAAAAATAAAAATAATAATAATCAAAACATTAAAAATCAAAATACAACATAGGGTATATGTATAATAATGTATTATGATGATCAAATGATTGTTATTTTTATCATGTGTTAGCACTTGATTGTTATTTTTATTGTAAATTTGTAATACAATTTAATCTGTTTGGACTAATTATTTAAACTTTATTATAAGTTAATGAAGTATTATTTGGCAATTTTTAAGGAAAAATGTCATCTCATTATAAACCGCAAACCAAACCGCACTAAACCGTATTGTTACGATTCGGTTTGGTCCGGTTTGAATACTAATGCAATTTGATTTGGTTTGAAAAATTGACCAAACCATAATTTGGTTTGGTACTCAAATCGGACCGTGTTCACTCCTAGATGCACAAATGAAAATTTTAGGATTGTTGTTTGTAAGAGCCAAGTCAAAAATTAAAAAAAGTCTAACTTTTTATTCAAAAATTATAACTGCCAAGATATTCCAACATCTCATGCAAATGTACGGGCATATTCTAGACTAAGAAAATATAAGTGTTATTTCACTTGGCAATTATCAACAATACATTCATAAATTCTTCATTTTCCCGTCATTTTTTTTTTCAAGTGTTATACTGCAATTACCGCATATATTTAGTTTATTTAATTTAATTATAAATAATACTCCGTAATATGTAAGTGGGGTTGGTTGTTTGTTTTTTGGACAGGATTGGGGTAGTTGAGATGGAAGCTGCTTAGTTTCTCATATTGAGAAGCATTTTTTTGTTTCTTTAGTGTCAAAAGATGTAAATAATTGCAAAGTTATTTTTTTTTAATTGCCTTTTTGCTAACTCGCAAAAGCATTAAATACTTTTCTATTTTCCGTCTCCTACCGTTGGTTTGTCTTTCCTTCTTCATTCTCTCTTCTCCATTTCTCTACAATGGCGGAATTGGCCCAATACCACAACGAACATCATCTTCAACACCACTAAGCTAATTAACACCTTAACAAACCCCGACCCCAACACACCATTTGCACTTGCTTTATCGTCAAATTTCACTAAAAACCCTAAGAAAAATATAAAGATTAAGGACAGAAACCCCAAAGGATAGGTGTTTGTCAATTTGCTTGTGAGTTATCCTGCTTTATTTATTGATTTTCTCGATCTCCATTGTTGTAAAATTGAGAGCTTCATCAATTTCCCAATATTTCGCGGATCTATTATAGTAAGTTTACTATCTCATACTTAACTGATGAAATGACATAAAAACCCTATCTTTTTTACAAGAAAAAAACTTCGTCGAGAACTTGAGATGATAAAATATTTTAGGTACATTTACTTAGAACTGTCAGACTGTCATCGTAAATGCATTAAAAATAAAATAAAAGGAAAAATTGATGGTACCAATCCCAACTATTGAATTCTTTTCATAAAAAAAGAAAAAAAAAAACTATGGACATTCTTCTATAAATAGTCCCAACTATCGATTAAAATAGTCTTTAGATAAGCCAATTAAAATTGACACATGTTGAATTTTTCGTGGTCAGTTTAAAACAAATTAACATGAAGATGGTGTTAAGGGAGGGGCTATGTGTTTAGAGTGTTGGAGAATGAATTTTTTTTAATTACTCTTAATGAAAACCAGGCACGTGAAACTATTAATCGATCGAATCGGTTAAAAATATGTTAAGACCGTTTTGAGAAGGTCCTCTAAAGTTAAGACTATCCTGAGTTAACACTTGTTCTCTTCAACTTGTTTCATATACTTATTACTTAATCTTAATAAATTCATATTGTATTAGAAACATTCAGATTAGATCAGAACTTTTAATTATCATTTACTTATTGCTAAATATCGTTATGCATATTGAAAAAATAAAAAAATTACATATTAGAAAAGTACATGATGAGACGAATCTAACGAGATCCAATTTGATGATGTTTTTCTTTATAGATTAGTATTAAAGTATGGTCAAAGTTTAGTCAAATAATAAATCATATCAGACCAAACCAGATAATAAAAATTCACATCTGACCAAATCAGACCTTTTTAAAATCATACCATATCTCCTTATTTCAGGCGAAGAGAACAAGTTCTTAATCAATAGTTGTATACAAATTCTTGATTAAAGCGGACTTTCATTAAGTTATTGTAAGGCGAGTTAAATTACCCTAAAAGTATTAAAAGTTACCCTTTATACTACAAAAGTTACCACTTTCCTAATATAAATTCCACCCTTTAAAAACACTAAATTAATCTGTGTCAAAAAAAAAAACTAAAAAATTAATCATAGCAGCCTTCATAACATGTATCCATTAGAAATTACTCATTAAAATACAGTCAAACTCATTACAAGTTAAAAGTTAACGTTAAAGATATTAAAATTACTATAAAAATTGCTATAATTACTCTTACACTGACCGTCTTATAAAAAAGTTAACGTAAGCCCGGCTTATATATACTAGACTTACACATAAGGCGTTTTCGGCATTCGACAAAATATTACTGTGAAGGTAGCTTTTAGTTGTGGTAGTAGCTGTTAGCTATCAACAAGCTGTTAGCTATGAAGATAGATAATTTAAGTATAAGTGTTCGGTAAAGTAGTAATTAACTAGTTGTTACATATACCTCTAACTTCAAAAGCTAATGTTTTAAACTTTTGATAAAAGCAATTTCCACCACTAAAAAAAACAAAAAGAGACTGAGTCTTGACGAACAAAGTTGAAGAAAACAAACGCTACCAGTTTTAATTTTCGATCCTTTTTAAAATCTCTCTCCTCTACTCTCAATTGATCACCCACGAACCCAAATTATATTACAAAAAAAAAAAATTGATCCAAGTCATTAGAGTTGATAATTTTTTCTCCCTTTTTTTTCGACCCCATTTAAAATTTTCTTTTTTTCTACAATTTTCTGCAATTACTAGAGAGATCGGTGTTGTTGGTGATAGTAGTGAGAGTTCTTGACAAATGGGTCAAGCTTTTCGCAAGCTGTTTGATACTTTCTTTGGTAACACCGAAATGAGGGTTAGTTGTTTTATTTTGTTTTTGTTGATGAATTTGGCGATTTCATTTGCTTGTTGATGATTTTTTGATTGTGTTGTATATGGGTTTTTTTTTAAAAAAAATTTGATTATGGTTAATCATTTTATTTTTGCTTGGATTGTCTTTAGTTTTCTCCGTAATTATTGATTATTAGGTTACATTACAGAGTTACACCTAAATTGATGATTCTCCGGTGTATTGATTAATTACTTTAACGGGGTGTTTATTGATTCTGTTTCTTATTATGGGTTTGTTTAGTTATTTATTGTTGTTTTAAAGTTGCAAATCTTGCAATGCATTGTTGAAAAGTTAATTTGTGAGTTATGTTACTCAGACTAGGTTACTCGTGTTGGACACGGGTATGTGTGATGAGTCCAAGTGTCTAACGCGGCTATTTTGTATAAATATTTCCTTGATTTTGACTCAAAATGAAGTGTGGAGGATTTGGCATGGGTAGTCGAGGTGAATTGAAGAGTTTGAGTAACATAGAGGTGAAGGCAAAGTAAAACAAGCTTTATAAGGGAATTTTTTTGTGAAATTTTTGTATAAAAAAGGATAAGGTAGATTAGCTTCTTTTGAGGAAGTGGGGATGGGGTGAAAGTGCTGGATTATTTGGCCTCTCCTCAGTTTATTGTTGAATTTCGACCGTGATATGCTCTCATAATGAATTGATATTATAAAAGTAAACATTATGCAAGTTATCTTTAACACAAATACAACCATATTTTCATGTTGTCAATCAGCGTGATTGAAGATAATTGGCTGTCGAAATTAGATATTGTAAAATCTTAATGAAATATTGCATTTGATTGAGGGAATTATTGCTAGTGATGCTGGTCTGATGATGTGGGTGGTACTGGGAGAGTATATAACATCAAGCTTCTTTGGTAGATAATGAAGTCAAGGAAATTTTCTACTACCAAATTAGACTGTGGTGCCGCTGTTGAAGATGTATACACATGGGAAGCTTGTTTCATGCGGAAGTTATTGGCACTAGACAATTAGTATTCAGTATAAGAGTAGTGGTATATTCCTGCAGCCATTGCCAAATGTTGTTTGGATGGAAGCATATTAGGCAGGTTTTTATTGGATAATCTGTCACCTAGGTGAGTTAAGTAGTCACATATTGGGGCATGGGCGAGCTCTTAACTGAAGAGAGCCTCTAGGTGTTTTGGCGTGGTTTGTATGTTTAATATTGTAGCAATTATTGCTTTTTTTTGGCTGTTCATTGAACTGTTCTCTGTTTTATGTTTTCAATCTTTTTGCACTTATCTGCAGTTGTTTCCGTCTTTAATTTTTAAAATGTAATTGATGCTTGAGATTTGAGCACATTATCTGACAATGCATTTTTCTGTTCGAGTTGGATCAGGTTGTGATGCTTGGTCTTGATGCAGCTGGCAAAACAACCATACTGTACAAACTGCATATTGGTGAAGTTCTATCTACTGTTCCAACAATAGGTACATCTCATTAACATTTAGTTCGTTTCTGTTATTCTGTACCTTGAAAAATTACTCTGTTGTGGAATAGTGTGGGAATGGCTGCGATTGACCTGCCACTGACTATAGACCAGTCATAGTATGCTGATTAGGACTTTTTTGCTTCCTTCCATCCCCATGAACCCTCTTTTTGCTTTTGTTTCTCTATCTTGCTTGGCTCTTCAATACTCACTATCTATGAATAGGATGAAGTAGGTTTGCAGTATGCTAGTACCATTTTTCTTTTGATAGTTGTGAATTACAAGTGGCTTTTATTTTTTGGGTACAAACAAGCCATAGTGAAATACATATTACAAATGGGGGTGGGGGATTTGAACTTGCGGCCTATTGTACACGGGCCCTTAGTCTTAACCACTAAGCCAAGAATTCATTGGCTGTAATTTTTATTTGAAGATAGTGTAAAACATTGAATTAGTTTGGTCTCCAAACTTGCAGGTTGAATTGCAATAATTTATCTGTATGGCTTAAAGAAAGTTAATTTTGTTTGGTTTGATAGGTCTCCACCTCACATACTTGAAATTATAGTATTGATTTATCGTAAAGGAATTTTCATTCCTAAGTTGGTAGTAAAGTCTTTTCAATCCAACCTTTGTATTTTTTAATCATATTGATGAAACTCGATCTCTAAGAAACTATAGTATAGTTTGTTTTTGAACATTAAGCTAGCTGCATGAAACTTAAATGTCCTATTTTATTTTATTTGTTGAGCGATGAGGTACATTTGCAGACTAGTAAGGCATTTTCACAATGTTGTGACTGAGGGAGACTGAAAGAGACAACAAAGCAACAAACTATATAAACTAGTTAGTAAAATGCGCTGTCCTATCTCTTCTTATTTTAGGCTGATTATATCTTGGAACACATAATTGAGCACATGGATAAGTAACTTTAATCCCTTGTAGAAAATTATTGCATTATTAGTAAGAGGTACAGTGCTAGAAATTTGGCTTCAGAGCTTTTTAGGCATAGGGGAGCTTGCTAGTTGATAGATGATGAGTGAGAGTTAGGATTAAGAGTTGCAGTGATTTAGTTGAATTTTTAGGTCAGAAAATCTGCTCTGTTGGAAGGATAAAATATGTTGGGTCTGGGAAGCCTATCGGCCATCAAATCTGTCTACACTCTTGAGGATCACAAGCTACGACCATGGTGGAATGATACCCTGGCTGTGTTATTAGTTTAGAACTTGTTCTTAGGAGAACCCTAATGCCCGTTATTTATGCAATTATTCTAGAGACCTGTATTATCCTTACCCCTTGGTGATAATTTGCTAGGCTGAAGTTCATAAGGTCTTATTTGAAACTTCAACTGATATGTTTTTCCCCCCTGTAGGTTTCAATGTTGAAAAAGTCCAGTACAAGAATGTAATGTTCACTGTGTGGGATGTTGGAGGTCAAGAAAAGCTGAGACCGCTTTGGAGGCATTACTTCAACAATACAGATGGGCTGGTATTAGTTCATATATATATATATATATATATATATATATATATATATATATATATTTATTTTATTTTTTCCATATTGCAGGCATTTTTTTTTTTTACTTCATCTGTTTCAATTAAAATTGCAACACTTTACTTTAGCACGCTTTTTAAGGAAAGATGATAGATGGGGTAAAATAACGAATCTACCCATCTACTCAATTACCGACAATCCCACATCATTCATGTCTAGCAACTCCACCCCTCAGCGCAGCCACCCTAACCAGTGACAACAACCCATCCACCCTCACTCAACACCAGGTTAACTACCATACCACCCTACCTCCACAATAACCCCAAATTACTACCTTTAAGTCTCCGCCGCCACGACCACCTCCCTAGGAGCCTCACCCAACCATACCAGTATGCCACAATCATACAATTATAAAAAATTGAATGAGGAAGTGCTGCTTTAATCTCTGGCATAGATTTTAAGGGTCAATTCGAGAGCCTAAACTTCAAATCATGAGTTTTGGTTGTTGAATCTGACTATTAATCCCCCTTTGATGACACAATATTCTTCAACGAGTTTAATCCCTTAAAATCAAAATTTGGCAACTGTTGACGGGAAAGTAGATGGAGCCATGGAAGTTGTGGTGGTGCCATAGTGGTAGCTACTTAGTTTGAGAAAGATAGGGAGCGGTGGTTGGTGAGTGAACTTGATGGTGGTGATTGGTGAGGGTTGGATGGACTTGAAGGTGATGGTAAGGATGGAAAACGGAAATGAGAGGTTGTCAGGTTGGTGGTGTGGTCAGATGTAAGAGAGGGAAGTAAGGGGAGGGCAGCTGTTCATATTTGGGTAATTAAGGGCATATTTGGGATTTGATTTGGTGAAACTTGCTATATAAAGAAAGTGTTGCAATTATCCGGCCAAGTATTGCAATTATTTTGAAACTTCTCAAAACAGAAAGTTTAACAATTTTTTTTGTTGAAACGGAATCCGGCCAAGTTTCGCAACATTCCGGCCATTGACTTTCATTTTCCCTCCAGTTACTTACACAGCTTTTATTTTAGTTTTCATTTGTTTATTGTCGTGTATTGTGATGTTATGGCCTTATGGGCATATGGCACTTTGGCCTAAATTTATCGATTCTATGGTTGCAGATCTATGTAGTTGACTCCTTGGACCGAGAACGAATTGGAAAAGCAAAGCTAGAGTTTCAGGTGATCCTATGATGAAATGGGAAGAGTTCCATTGTTTGGTACCAATTGATATCTTGAACTGACCTCCTTGTTCTTCTTTCAGACTATCATCAATGATCCATTCATGCTTAACAGTGTTATTCTGGTGTTTGCAAATAAGCAAGATATGGTATGAGCTTACTACCTCTGAAATATTCTTCATAGATTAAATACAGCAACAGAAATGATAACCCAGTATAGTTTTCACCTAATAACCAAATGTTTGGACAATCTTCACCAGATTGGACACACACACACACACACACAGATATCACCTGTATCCTGACCTTATAAGGCTCAAAGAGACCATTCAGTCGAAGCAAGTGCAAAAGGCTTTTAAAGACTGTCCAAGCATTCTTGCTAGCTTCAGTTTGATAAAACACGAAGGTCTTCATGTTGTACTTATTTTTCTTTTGCAATTAGTCTATGGCAAAGGGTTTGTTTAAGTTGTGACGAAACCTGCTGTATCAAAAATTTGAGCACAGGGTTACCATAGGATAGTTTTGTTATTTTAATTTCCCCTTCAATTTAGGGGTTAAATGAAGGATTGGTTCTAGTGGGGCTGAGTTGAGCTTAGCTCCTCAAGTAGGTGGAGGTGATAAGGTAGTTAAATCAATTACTTGGAGATAATATGATTTTTGCCGTTTATGGTTCTGGAATATTGATGCCTCTTCCCTTTTTGTGGTGGTATGGTTTTTTTTTTTTTTTTTTTTTTTTTTTTTTTTTTTTTTTGAAGTATTATTATTATTTTTTTATCATTATTTTATTTTAGAAGTTGTTGAAGGATCTCAAATGATAGTTTGACTGGCTGGTGAGAGGTGACTATGGCTGACTTGGCTGTGGAGGACTGTAGGATTGAACTAGTGAAGGAATTATATTTGGGAAGTTTATTGTCAATATTTGAACAGCAAACACAGATAAGCTGTTGACCTTGGTCCTGTAATCCAATCATGAGACGAGACCAGATCTTTTGTCGTACATTAGGCTGATGAGGCCTTTTCTTTAGAATGTTTGGACCCTTTATGCCATGGGATCATTTTTACACTCCATTTATCTCTGCCAAAATTCCTTCACCTTCAAGGCCAATATGCAGGATTTTGAATCAGATCTGGCCCTTTTCGTAAAATTGCTTGCTGTTGTCATTTGCAATTTTAAATCAGACCTGACTATTATTATTTGTCCATGTTATAAGCAGTGATTAAAGCTGTTGTACAGAAAAGATTTTTAAACTATTGTATGACGTGTTTTTGGGTTGTAGATGGATTTTTTTTGGAAGATCTGTATCTTACAGCTCCATAGTTAACAAAGAAGTGTCTTCTTTTTGCAGAGAGGAGCCATGACACCGATGGAAGTTTGTGAAGGGTTGGGTCTTTTTGATCTAAAAAATAGGAAATGGCATATTCAGGGGACTTGTGCTTTGAAGGGAGATGGTCTATATGAGGGTTTAGATTGGTTATCTAACACCCTCAAGGAGGTAAGAGCTGCAGGATACTCATCTCTGGGGGCGTCATCCATCTGATTGACCAGGTATACTCTTTAATTTCTGACGCCTCTTTAAAATCAAGATGTCTTCATATTGCTTATGTTGTATATCACACTTCCAGCAGGTGGACTCAAGACGATATCTTTTGAAGGAAGTAGCCAGAGAGCTTACCATTTACTTATAGCAAGTGTAGGTAATTCTCGGATTTTGTGGTGAAAACTAATGATGCTTTGGGCATTTGCTTTTGGCGTTGCCTTGCCTTCAAATCTCCTGACAACTTCAGATGTATATTGACATGACATGTTCACTGTATGGCTGTACCTCGCTGGGGATCTGTCAAGTACATTCATAGAAAGTGTGTTTTCAACTGAGGTTGATAAGCATCAATTTCTCTAACTGAGTTTGTTTCAGGGCCATCCCGAAATGGATGCAGATCTGTTTGTAAAAATTCTTCATGGCAGTGTGATTGTACCATTCTAGAATTGCAACATATTAGCCATTATAGTTGAGCAAATTTTTTTATTGTGTCAGAATGCCACTCTTATTCAGGTTTACTTCACGCTCGTGAAATATCTAATTGTGTTAGACCATGCATCCCATTGAATTAACCCATTATACTTCATATCATTGTTCAGCAACTGTAATAGAACCCTAAGAGGCTAAGACACCCAAAGAAATTTTGTGTCTTAATTCAACTCGGATAGATTCTGTTTTAATTGTTGATGTTCTATGCAAGTGAAACGCTAAACATCGCCCGCAATTTACCATATAAAGCCCACAAATATGATATGGTTTGACCATTATGCCCATTTTCTAAAATTGAATTAATCTCGGTGTAAAAAATGTGGAGCCGTACTGGCTCGCCGGGGGAGACTGGAGGGCAGGCCGGAGATGCGGGGGACGCCGGAGGTACGTCGTCGTCGACGGAAAACGAGGTAAGTCACCGTTAAAATTCACGGTTTACCGTCGGAGTGGCTCCGGCGCCTAGCATGGACGCCCAAACCGTAGCCTGGACGCCCAAGCCAGACGCCAGAACCACCAGAGTGGCGTCCAGCCCAGACGCCCAGACCACCGGACTGGCGTCCTGGCCAGGCGCCACTCCACTGGGTGAGGCGGCCCTGCCAAGCGCCAGTCCAGTGGCTGTGGCAGCCCTGGCAGACGCCACCCTTATAAATTAATTTTTTTTTTTCTTTTTTGATTTTGTTGTTGTTTTTTATTTATTTTTTTTTTAAAAAAAAATCGAAAATGATTTTTTAAAAAAATTCGAAATGGGTTTTTTTAAATTAAATTTGAAAATTCGAAATAGGTTTTTTTAAAATTAAATTTGAAAATTCGAAATGGTATATTTTTAAATTTAGTTTGAAAATTCGAATTGGGTTTTTATAAAAATTAAGTTTGATTATATATAATTATGCTTTTTTTTTTGTGTTAATTCTCTGTAAATATAGAAATTAAATGTATTATCCGTTAAATGTATTTATTGTAATATATAATTGATGCAAGAATATGGTGGAGACGAAAATGATTACAGTGGGATATTTGGACATGATGGTCCATTCGAAGAAGCTCAACAGGCGATTGATTGGGCAAAACAGGTTGCAATTGCAGCTAGATTTTGCTTGGTAGTAGTAACTCATAAATCTCAACGGGATGGTAGAATGGATCGCATTTTGAGATGTGACCGTTATCGCAAAAGAGAAGAAAGAGATTTTCGTACAACCACTCGGTTTGATACAAAGCGGAAAGGTTGTGGGTGTGAGTTCAGAGTAAAGGTTCGACAACTACGGAGTCGTGACGGTTGGGAAGTGATTGGTTACTCTAAATGGGGGTATCACAACCATGAGATGATAGTATATGAAGAGGGTCATCGACAACTGAGCGGCTTAAGTCCTGCTGCGAAACTAGTTGTGAAAGAAATGAGTGATGCTCAAGTGAAGCCTGCTAAAATATTAGCATTTGTGTTAGAGAAATTTCTAGAAGACCATCCAAACCGAAGACACATCTACAACGTCCGACAGCAACTCAGGTTTGAACGGTCAGAGGGAAGGAACCCTATACAGTAGCTGCTACACCAGGCACAATCACGTGGTTACCTGTTCTGGTTTGATTCTGATGAAGATACAGCGGAGGTGACTCATCTTTTCCTTGTGCATCCTGATTGTGCTGATATGATCAAGTGTTGGCCATTTGTGATTTTGATCGACTCAACATACAAGACAAACAAGTACAAGTTCCCACTGGTTGAGATGGTTGGGATGGCTCCAACGAACCAGAACTTTCTGATTGGTCATGCAATCATCAAGGATGAGATGGCTCCAAGTTATTATTGGGTGTTGGAGAAGCTGAGAAACTACATCGGGCCTAATGTTCATCCAGCACCATCGTTAGCGACTGTGAGGGAGGTCTCTTTGCCCCCATAGCAGAGCTGTTTCCCGAATCGAACCACTTATTGTGCACATGGCACATCAACAACTGCGTGAAAGTGAAAGCCTACAACCTTTTCAAGAAGAATTTGGAAATGGCAGAGAGATTGGTGAATGGTAAGTGGCGGAAGATCCTACAGGCTACCACAGAGGAAGCGTATGAGCGAGCATTGGCTAACTTCAGGGATTCGTACCAGTGGTGTCCGGCACTGGTGGACTATGTGATGCATCAATGGGTCCCTCACAGGGAAAAGTTTGTCAAATATTGGACAAACCAGGTACTTCATTTTGGGAACACTACAACATGTAGAGTTGAGAGCGCTCATAGAGCTACCAAGGACTGGATTGATTCATCGACCGCTGCTTTGGATACACTATTCGCTAGACTGAACAAGTCAATTGAAACTCAGAAGAACGACATCAGGAACTCTCTAGAGGACTCCAGAAGACGACAAGGTACGATGTATAGCCATTTTATATTTAAGATTCTCCATGGTCGTGTGTCGCACTACTGCTTGGGGTTGATTCTCACTGAGCTGAACAGGGTGAGGGACTTGGCTGACGAAGTGTATGCTCGGTGTGGGTGTACTATTTCAGTAACTCATGGATTACCTTGCGCATGCACCATTCACCGCGTTATTACAGAAGAAAGGGCGTCGTTACATGTTGATCAGGTCCATTCATTCTGGAGGACGCTTGTTATTGGTGAGCATGCAGACACTCAAACGGCTGACCGTGAACAGGAGGAGTTGGAGCAGTTTCGTTCGATGTACGACCGAGTGTCCTCCAGCCATCCTTCTATTATTCGTGACGCTACTCATGTACTTCATGACATGTTCCACCCGTCTACCTTAGATTATGAGGAACCCGAAGGAGTTGACCGTCCTCGAGGTCGACAACGGCGGAACAGGAGTGCGTTTGAGTATATCCGTGGTCTTGGTCGTGGTCGTTCTCGTGGTCGGACATCGTCATCTAGTCGTAGTCAATCTTCATCGTCTGTGAATATGCCCCTGAGAACTGGTACGTTTTGGTTGTTTTTATTGCACATAGTTTTAAAGTGTTACTCCTGCCTTCTTAACTGTCTATAATTATATGGTGAATAGGAAGAAACGACGTTGATCAGTTTTCGTACAAGGAAAGGATACCTGCGATCATCATGTCGTACTTGGAAGGGTGGAATGATGTAATCGGAGATGGTAACTGCGGATTCCGGGTCGTGGCTGATGTTTTCCAAATGGGCGAAGACAACTACGGTTTGGTGCGTCAGTTGATGTACAGCGAAATTGCCTCTAACCGAAATGTTTATCGTCATGTGTACCAGGATGACTTGGATGGCGCTCTGCGGCGTATCCAGTGGGGAGGTGGACCTTGCGGCCAAAATCATTATTTTGACGCGCCCCTAGATCTGTTTGCCGTTGCAAACATTTACAAATGCGCAGTCATGCATTTCGGCCTGGGAGTGCATAGTTAAGCTTATTATCCTTGTACCACGGTTCTCCCTTGGCGGTCGCGTGAGACTGTCACCACACCGGTCAGAGAGCTAGCTATTGCGTTTCTTGGGTCGTCATACAGACATTTCATCCGACTAGACATGTCAACCGATTTTCCAGTGCCACCGATTATACCTCGGTGGTACAACATTCGCACAACGAGCGTAGAGGGTTGGGATGCGCTATATCATGACCGGATCCACGAATGGAACACCCTAGCTGCATTTTTGTTTTTCATGTTTACATTCTTTATTTGTAATCTTATTTGTACGTTGCTCTTTTAATGAGAACATTAATATTTTATATTGTATTGCTTACTGCATTCTATATGTTGCATGGGTAAGTTGCGCGGATCCACGAACGGTTATATCAAAATTTAAAAACAGCACTGATAATATGTTTAAGTTGGAAGCTAAAAGAACAATATAAAATGTTACAATCTTACAACATAATGTCCAACATAATGCTCTATAAATAAAATGACAAAACCATCAGTAATCCCTCCTCGACGATGACTCCCACTGCGCAAGGGTCTGTTCCAGACTATCAACAACAGCTCTCCCTGTTGCACTCATGCTGTCCTTCTCAAGAGAGAGTTTCTGTACGTCCTGCATTATCTTTCCCATCCACTGCATACAACAAAAAACAGAAGATGAAATACAATAACAACATATAAAACTTAATTAAAAGACAACGATAAATATAATAAAAGACATACCGCTTCCGTGGCAGTAGGCGGTGGCACATAATCATCATCGCTGTGGTCGAGATCTGCGATCAACCTCGGGTGCGAATACCGGTTGAACCATTCCATGTAGTAATGGCCACACATGGGAGTAACCCCAGAGGGCGGCCGCTGCAACTCCGCAGTCCATAAGCGGGCCACCATCGGAAACTGGTCCCACGTCCCGGTCATGATATCCGGCCATTGCACGACGTAGTCCCTCGACGATGCAGGTCGGACCGCCTTCATCGGGCATGCCGGGGGAGGAGGGACAACTTGGACAAATCCAAGCTGGCGAAGACAACGCTGGGGCATGTACGCCTCGACGATCTCACGATACTGAATGAGTCCCGTGTACAGGGTCCTGGGTACCCTAACACTAGGGTTCGGGCCGAAAGGCATCCAGTTCACCTGTACAATAACAACATATAAAATTTAATAACATGAATATAATATGTGCAAATAATAAAATGTAGAAACAATTTATAAACGTTACCTCTAAGGGGGACAGCCTGTCCAGCAATAACCGTATCGATCGGAGGCGGTCAACGGACTTCTTCTCCGAGCGCGGACTCCACGCACAAGCACGCGGCATCCCCTCATCAATAGGAACTGGGTCACGATGTGGTCGCAATGCAGGAAAGTACTCGTATATCCAGGTCTGCAATAGAGTCAGACACCCAGTGATACCTGCCGCGTTAGCCCGACTCGCAAATCCTAGTTGGCGATACAAATACGCCAACGTAGCCGATCCCCAGGAAAATTGGCCTACACTGTCGGGGTCACACGCCTCTACTATGTCGCGTGGCCTGATCTTGTTTCCGCCGCTCTTATCCGGAAACAAGGTACATCCGAGGAGTAGAAAAACATAAGCACTCAGCTGTGCGTCGTGCGTCCTACGTGCACTGGGGTACAAACACCGCTGCAACACGGATGCGATCTTCACACCTCCGTGTTCCCAAACACCTAGCGCCTCGGTGTACAGTGCAGCCCTGTCCACCGCCAACAACTCCGCCAGCAAATCTGCCTGATCCGCATCAGCCACAGCACAAAGTCGTTTACCCTCAACACGAATCCCCAGAATGGCCTCGACGTCATGTAACATGATCGTCATCTCACCGAACGGAAGGTGGAAAGAGTTTGTATCCAGCTGCCATCGCTCAATGAAAGCCGTGATCAGCGTACTGTCAATCTTATCGTGCATGGTGGCAGGAACGTGATTCACCCCAGTGCCCTCCAGTCGCTCGAACATCTCGCTCTCCGCCGGCCAGGCCTCAGCCCATGTACGCAAAAAGCTACAAGTCTTTTCCCGGGTATGACATTTCAACAACCCCGTAACTGAAGGCCTCTCCTTGTCCTCCCAAATACGGGCAGCTATGTGTCCTAGAAAGCTAGGAATCACACTCCCGTCAACAGGCCCACCGGGCACCTCACTCCTAACAACCCAAGAATCATTACCGGCCCTCGACCGTTTCCTGCTTGCCCCAGATACAGTGGACGCAGATGATGTGCCAGATCTACTAACAAACCTACCACCCCTACCCTTACGCACCTCCACCATATGTGTCTCGTACATGTCATCAACCCTCTGACTGAATGGACCGTAATCATCATACGGTCCACTGCCATCGTCCACATCCTCATCCTCATCTGCGCCCTCCTCCTGCTCCTCCTCCTGGTCACCCTCCTCAGCATCATCATCGTCATCGTCATCCTCATCCCGACGGTGGATCCGTTCTCTACGAGCTGAGGCCGAAATACCACGGGATCTGACATGTCTATGCCCCGACCTCTCCACTGAATAGCTTCTACTAAGAAGCTCTATATTCTTCCCCGCACCATGACGACCCAGTGAATTCTACACAAAATTTTAAAATATATAAACATACAAAAATTTATACGAAAAATAGCTACCACTCCCAAATCAAATAAACTAAAAACATACAAATAATTGTAAACAAAATATAAACATAGAAAAAATACAACGAAATTGAAAAAATTTATAAAAATAAACAACAAAATATAAAAACAATTCAAAAATATATTACACAAAAAAAAATAAAAAAATTAAAAACAATATTTTAAGACAAATATAAAAAAAAAGGGGGGGGGGGGCGCGCCTTGGCTGGACGCCCAGCCAGCGGTGGTGGCGCCAGCTGCAGACACCGCCACCAGTGGGCTGGCGCCTGGGCTGGACGCCACAGCCACGGCTGCGGCGCCTTGAATAAACGCCACAACCGTGGTTGTGGCGTCCAGCCCAGGCGCCAGCCTACTGGTGGCGGCGTCTGCAGCTGGCGCCACCACCGCTGGCTGGGCGTCCAGCCAGGGCGCCCCACCGCCGTCACGGCGGTTTTTCCCTTTTTTTTTTTTTTTTTTTTACAAATTGTACCTTTCCTCCTTGGGACATCCTTCCCTCCGCCGCCGCCGCCAATTCCTTGCCTTGCCGCCTCGACATTGCCGTTGTTTGAATTTTTTTCTTTTAGAGAGGTTGAAAGAAGATGAGCAATGAGAGTGTGAGTGATGAGAGTGTGAGTGTTTTTTTTTTAAGGTCAAGGGCAATTTTGTCAAACCAAGTGAATTTTGTGGGCTTTATGTAGTAATTTGTGGGCGATGTTTAACAAATCCCCTATGCAAAGGCTTCCATTGTCTCCAGCTCGCTATCATCTTACTAGACTACAATTTTGTCGGATTCTTGAGTTGTGTATGTCACCTTGTTTTTGGAATTGAAATTTTTCCGCTCCGAAAAATTGAACTTTGCACTACAGTTGTAAGATTTCTATTAGAAGCATTGCGATAGCTAATCCTTTTGTTTATATTGTATATAACTGTCGATAATATCTTTTAGGATGCTCACAAAAAGAATTTCCTACAAAAGAATATTCCGATTCAACTAACTCTTGTTCTGGCTATGTTAACCTACCAATGCTTGGGAGCCTAACTTATGCCAATAGTAATGGTTATATGACGTATTGATAAAGTGTTAACAACATCAAAATGACTTAAAGACTAATTAACACCCTTAAGAACATTATGGCACCAAATAATGCATCTGCCCTTCCCATAATTTGATAAACTTTTCAACGAGGCTGCCCCACTTAATCTCCATGATAAACAAATTTCGTTTATCCAATAGTGTTTGTAACTTCAGGTATAAACCGTTATCTCAGGTAGCGGTTTTAAGGCAAAACTGCTACTTCAAGCAGCGGTTTTACCCATTTTCATCGTAAAAATTACACTTTTGTCCCCGTGATAAATAAATTAAACTTGTATTTCCTCCTTTTCAACTTGCAATCAGTCACTCTCTCCTTATTAATAATTGTCTCTACCACAAAGTCTCCAAAAAGACGGGTGTACGTTAATTTATTGTAAGACTGGTTAAAATTATCTTAAAAGTATTTAAAGTTACCCTTTATATTACACAAGTTATTATTTTTCTAATACATTGTATCTTACAAAATACTTATAATGTGGATTTTATTAGCCCTTATAGTATGTAATCACGAAGCTATAAGAAAATACACATTAAAATAAAATTCAAACCAACGACAAATTAAAATTCCCCTTTAAGGGATTAAAGTTACCATAAAAATAGTTAAAGTTACCCTTCAAACTGACCGTTTTACAATAAAATTAACGTACACCCGCCTTACACAAGACTTATTGTTATCTCTACACATTTGCACAAATTTTATCAAAATGAAATACAATCTAATTGACAAGTATATTAAAACAAAATGTGACAATGTTTAAAAAGGTATTTAACACGAGTAAATCAACTATAGAACAGATGAATTACGATTATAACGTACTTCTCTTACTCACTTGACATCACGACTATTGCAAACAATACTCTTATAATTAATTTTATATTTCTTAAACATACTCGTATAAGTAATTAAGTATGGACAATTTTAAATTTTCTTACATTTTTTTGGTAGTTTTATTTTTTATTTAAATTCTTTTTATTTTTTTATTACCAATTTATGTTCGTTAACATGTTAGCACACAAGTTCCTCCCCTTTCATTTACCGCAAAATTCCAACCACTTATCTTACTTCTCTCTCTTCACTCGCCCCCAATTTGGCAATTTCTCTCTCCTCCCCTAAATTCCTGATTTTGAATTTCCACTTTACAAACATTTCAATTTCCTGCAATTAATCAAAATCAAAATCATAGGCCCTAATTTCTGAATCATGTGCTCAACAAAAGGGCGACAATTTAAAATTGAAATCAAAACTCAAATGATCACATGCCACCCATCAGATTTACCAACAACGACGAATTTCTCAATGTTAGGGCAAAGAACTTCCACCACCACCTTAAAATTATTCCATAATTTTCGCTGGAATTCCCGCCATTTTCGCCCCTTTTACCCTCACAAAGTTGGGGGTTCCAAATTTGTGATTAATTCTTCACTTGGCCCACTTTTCGCCTCGGCGGCAGCTGTTGGTTCATCAACTCATGCCGCCGTGACTTCCACCATCACCCAGGTGGCTGTTACCGCTGTCGCTATTGCCTCGGGAGCTTGCCTTTCTACTAAAGTGGACTTCTTGTGGCCTAAATCACATGATCAGCCTAGTATGACTTATTTTTTTTGACTATCTTATTTATTTTGTGATTTTCTGGAATTTATTGTCTTTTTGTAAGTTTATGCTTAAAAATAGTAAGGAATTGTTAGTTTAGTGATATTGGTATTTCGACTTGTTGAATTACATACTGTTTTATTGATAAACTAACTTTAAGTGTGATTTAAATTACTACTTTCGTTGCATATTATTTACAACTTTGAAATTTTTTATCTCACAAATAATACACCAAAGTTGCAAATAATATGAAACGGAGGTGTATATTGTTTCAAGTAACACACGATATGGAATGGTGGGAGTAACATTAGTGCATATGTGTTTGTTTTCTCGTTTGATATCGTTGGCACATATGGATGCTCAGCTTGCTGTCGTGACTAGAATAAGTTAGATGGAGCACCGGAAATGTTAAGGGAAGTTTAAACATAATATTATGCGGTGTTGGTTAGCTTAATATGCTAACTCTTTCTAACAATAAAGTGGTCCTTTAAATAAATGTTCAAGTGACAAGAATCACTAGATTTAGAGAACAATTTACAGTAAAAGCATTGACTTTATTTCTGGAAGGAGGGAGTTTGCATGTTCCGTTATTAAATTTCATACACGTATATGGTAGTGGAGGTGCATTGCCTTGAACATTCACATAGGGTGTAAAATTATGTGCAATTGCTTATCGTTGGTAAATTTCTAGTTGTGCCAAGCCAACCATGAATATCTTAAGTTTGTATTTATTGTGAAGGAGCTGCAATCTAGATAATAAATGCATTTTTTCTATCTTTAAACATAATCTATCTTTTCTTCGTCTTTTACTTATAAAGGGTAAGGCTATATGCATCTGGACCTCCTACCCTTTGTTTTAGTGGGTATTATTGGGTATTATTGGGTTGTTGTTAAGCTGTATTCATTAGTATATCTGTTTCAAATTTATGTTTCTGACTACGTTTCACTCGAAGCTGAAAGTTCTTACTCTTAATTTGGTGATGTTTGTTATATCTTTGATGCATTGAAGTGGATGAGTGTCTTTATGTTTTAAATGGATTTTATTTATCCTTTTTGGTTTGCATTTCTGGAATTTTTTAATTACTTATGTTTGTACATTATTTCCATGCCCCCTCTGATGTAGGTCCTCTTATATTAGAAGGAGTGGATGTGACTGGCTACCCCATATTTAACAATCCCAAGGTTTCTTATCTGCACTCTAAAAGATATTTATACATAACCTTCTGCTGTATTTATGACAATGAATTGTGAAATCAGGTTCAAAAGGCTGTATCTTTTGCTAGGAAAGCCCATCACGGGCAACTACGCAAAAACGGAGAGCCTTACTTGGCTCATTGTCTTCATACGGGAAGAGCTTTGGCTGACCTAGTTCCATCAAGTGGACAAAGGGTATGTATATGATCCCATGTATGGCCTCTGTAAAGCTTATTTACTTTAGAACCTCTCTTTCTTACAATAGCACATATGCGTAGGAAAAGTTGCATTGTCCTCAACTACATTGCAAGATTTGCAACAGCAACTTATTGAATAATTTGTGTTAAATGAACATAATGCCATAATTCTTGGAAATATACTGTTTTACACAACACTATCCAGCTTGAATCTGGTTGTCGGCTATCGCTAGATCCTGGATTATGCTATTTCCATTTTCAAAAATTCACAGTGGATAATTTTACAGAGTTTTTTGAAGTAATATTTTTTTATTGAAATATATTTTTAGCTGATATCTATGTGTTTAGCTTGCAAACTCCTTATAAAGTAAGCTGATTATCCCTGTTTATAATACTGTAGTAAATAGTATTTGTCAGAACTCTGATTTTTACATCTTAGGATGGAAAGCAATGCATAATTATGCCTCTAAAATACTTAAAATGTTATGTCTGAAGCTTAAAGGAACTGGTGCTGTCTATTAAGATTATGTTGTCTAATTGTTTTATATGCTGTCCGTACAGTAACAGTACAATGGATATAGATATAAAAAATTTGTTGTTTGATTGAGCTCCTCAAAACTAGTGAAAAGAAGAAAATTTCATTGTGTGTGCTATTGGACTGCTGGATGAGATGAAATAGATCATATGCAGCTATAATAGTGCATGCTATTCTCATAATGTCTAGTTTATAGTGGCTAGTTAATCTGTAATTATATCTGCTCCATCTTTGGTGCCACAATAACAAGAAGACATACTTGACTGATTCCACATTGCAAGGTGCTGTATTGCAGCTTCATTCCTTCATTTCCACTAGTCATTACTTTATTGTTTGGTGTTTTTAAATTTTATTATTATTTTTCTTATATATCTGTACTTGAAGCTTCTATTGAATGGATGTATGTACTTATATTGCTCTTAACCCATGGTTACCCAAGTTTCTATCTAATTAGATGTTGCTGCAGGCTGCTGATACAGTGGTGGCTGGGATTCTTCATGATGTTATTGATGATACAAGTGAAACTCTGGTCAGTATAAGAGAAAATTTTGGCAATGATGTAGCTCAGCTTGTAGCTGGTGTTTCCCGGTTAAGTTATATTAATCAGGTATAGAAAGCTTGTATGTGTTCTTGATGTTTCTTTTACTCGTCTCCCTTCTCTTTTAGGAGTTATCTTCTAATCTCTGCTGGGATAACTTGCATTTCTTATATTTTGGATGCTAATATGGATTAATTGGCTCTAAAAGAGCTACTGCAACTTTAACAAAGAATCATTTCATGTCTCTACAGTTGTTAAGAAGACATCGCAGAATTAATGCAAGCCAGAGCAGTCTTAGTCATGAAGAGGTAAAAGTTATTTCAGCTTGCTGAGCACTAGCTGTAATAACCGCAGTGTTTTCAAATTTGTCTTATTTGTGTTCTTTATGTTGTTGTATCACTTAAGAAGTACTTGTGTAGTTGTGTAAAGTGTTAATGTGTAACTAGCAGTTTAACACATTCCTGTCAGAAAAAATGGAAGAAATGGTACTGACACAGAAAATTCTTCAAGTTATATTTAACTAAGTATGAAACTAGTCATAGTTATATTGACATATATATTGCTTAGAGACCGGCTCATGCTATATTTGGAAACACTATTTTATCGTGTCTCCCTATTTCATCCGGATGCTTATATGTGCACCTCCATGAGGATCAGAAACTTGTATCAAACGCTTAAAATCTTACATAACCAAGATAAACATGTTGGCTCATGGATCATCAAGCATGTTAGAAAAGGCTAAATTGATTGATTCTTTAATTTCTTCTATTTTTTATCAGGCAAATAATTTGCGAGTGATGCTCTTGGGCATGGTTGATGATCCACGTGTGGTACTCATAAAGCTTGCTGATCGCCTTCATAACATGAGGACCATGTATTAGCTCTCTTTATGTAGTTTTTTTATTAGACTTTTTACTATTTGTGTTTACTATGAACTAGTTGGTCATGAACTTTTCACCTACAGTTATCTTCCTGTTTGGGAGCTTAAGACTAATAATGTGTTAGATTTCTTCTCCATTAGTTGTCGATCAGGCTAATTTTCCAAGAACTTTTATCTTCTGACATGACCTCCCTCTTTTTCACCGCAGATAGTTAGAATTGTTGGAGATAGAATGGGTAGGTTGGAGACTGACTGAACTAATAACTATCCAAGGAACCTGGAAAGTCAGGTGAATTTCAATCATTCAAAAGGGGATTGCTTAGGGTATATGCTAGTTAGTTGAAAAAAAGCTAAGCTATTGTGTGGGAATTCAGGAGATATCAAGAATATATCAATTGCATTTTTTTTCCGATAATGTACAAGTTTAGCAGAAAAGTGCATGTAAGGTAAGTTGGTCAAGAGAAGTAATTTGTGTGTACGTCTGTATTATTCTATTACATACATAATAATATATGCCAAGTGTTTTATTTTGAAGAGAGCTCCTCTCTTAATGTCTTTGTGGATGAAATTACATGGTATCATAAATCTGAACCTTCTTTTGTATGTAGAAGACACACCAGTATCATATTTAGTGTATTCTTTGTTACTATAAGAATCGAGAATTACCAAACCCTTTATTTTATTAGTATACATATATTGATTTTACAGCCATGTGATTCTTCTTATAATTGTGCAGTTATGCTTTGCCACTTTCCAAGGCTCAAGCTGTTGCTGAAGAAACTTTGGTAGTTTGGTGCTCTCTTGCTTCGAGACTGGGCCTTTGGGCTTTGAAGGCTGAATTGGAAGATCTTTGTTTTGCCGTTTTGCAGGTTTGCACTGTATAATTTCACCCCTCTTGCAGGATATGTGCTGTTTTACTTCAGTCCAACCTTATCATATTGACTAGATCTTTTATTCCTTGGTCAAGTCCAGAGATGAATCTGGAAATTTTACTATCACAGCAAAATTTATGGATCAGGGCAGCAACCACTTTTATATTCCTATGTGTCCCTAAGTAGATCAATAAGTATACTTTTAACGTTTTAAGATTAAAAGATCAATTTGAGAAGTTTTTCTGATGTGTGTACTTTGTACTAATTGATATAATATCTTCAATACAATGGTCCTCTCGTGCAGGGATTGCCAGAATAGGGGAAGGGTGTGGAAGCTATGTTAATCGGACACGGCTAAAATCGCGAAGTGTCCGTGTCGACACGACACGGACACGGACACGAGGCACGTGTCCGACCCTCCACTGTGCACTCGGACACTTCCATTAAGAGTAGAGAGGAAGGAAGAGGAAAAACATGAAAGAAAAGTTCGAAGAGTACTATTGATATAGAGAAGATGGAGAGAATGCCATTTATTGGGAGAATTTATCTAGGAAAGAATTAAAAGAAAAAAAAAATAGGGGTGGACATAATGAAAATTTAGAGCTTTTGTAATATGTAATTTATTTATATAAATTTAAGTGGCGTATTGACGTGTCCTCGTATCCATGTCCAAATATCGGACAGAGTCCCCGTGTCCTAAATTTTTGGAACTTGCCGGATCGGACACTTGGACATGTGTCCGTGTCCGACACCCGTTCTTGAGTCCAAGTAACATAGTGTGTAAGGATGCCAAGCAAGTGGTTGTTAACTTTATTTCTAGAGGACTGTATACATCCTATTCCTACTGACTGGAAAATCCCGTTAGGCTATCTGCTTTGCTAATTCTTAATATGCCTTAGCCCCACCCTGTTCTGCTTCTGCCTACCACTGTTAACTTTACCAGTTGGGTTGGTGTAAAAGGAGGGGTGGGGGGGGGGGGAGTCAGAGTCCTTTTTCATGATTCCCTCTTTCATTTTCTTCTGACATCTTTTCCTGCTTTTCGTTTTTTAATATCTTAAGTGAGTATTATCAATTTTTTTGCTTCATATGTGGAAAATAATTCCATGCACAAATAAATAGGCTGCAGCTATAATATTAGAAGCAATTTCCATTTCGAGGGAGCCCCCATTGATCTTCTTGATAAACAATTTATTAGGGCAAAGCCGCTATTTCAAGTAGCGGTTTTGGTATAAACCGCTACTTCAATAAACAGTAAAAAAAAGGCACTTATTTACAATATTGGCACTAGATAAACAATTGTTGTTTATCATGAAGATCAACTTGTATTCTCTCATTTCCTGAGTGTGTATAATTGAACATTCCAATTTCTGCCTTTATGGTCTTTAGACTATATTTTATTTGGTGTTTCACTGCTCTGTAAAATGCTAACAAGTAGGAACAAACCAGCAGAAATGGCTTTAAAGTCTTGAGTGATGTTTTTTCAGCCTCAAATGTTTTGTCAAATGAGAGCTGAGTTGGCATCCATGTGGAGCCCTTGCAGAAGGGCAAGAAATCCCCGAAGAGTGTCCACAAAGAGCAGTTTGCTTTCAGCCTCTGACACAACTGCATCAAATAGCTTTAATTGTGCTGTGGCTACTGAGGACGATGATACAGAAATGAAGGTAGAGCTGTCATCAGTGAAAACTTTACTTAAATATGCTGTATCATTATTCTTCTACTCCTTCTGTTCCAGAATAAATGACCTTACATATATGCCAGTTTGACCTTATATATATAATTAAATAATAGTAAAAAACTATAAAAAGTTGATATTTTGAAAATTTATATTAATAACTATATTTCATGATAAAAATTGCTTTTACTGCTTTAGTAAAATAACTGTAGTCAAAGCTAATATTTGAATAGTGAAAATAAAGTCAAACTTGTCAATTATTTTGTGACAGAGGGAATATTATCTATCATGCCTTTGTTGATGCGGTTGAAGTACTTTCCACTAATTCTGATGCATGTTTTTAAAAAATCATGCTTGTTAGTAACACATAAATCCTTACGTATTTAAAGGACTGAACCCTGTTTTCTTCTATCAGAAATTGAAAACACCTGATCCTGGACCTCTCTTATAGAAACTGTGTGCATAAGCTGGCAATACTTTCAGCATTGGATCTCCCTTCGTATTCTCTGTCAAGTGCTATATCTAAATAATTGCTGTTTGATACCAATCATGCTGTTTCATATACCAATCATGCTGTTTCAATAATGATTGTATCCTGTCTTCTGTCAACGTGTTTGTTTTCTGAATGATATCATCTGCAGGATCTTCTTGAAGCAGTCTTACCTTTTGAACTATTGTTAGACCGAGGAAAACGAATGAACTTTCTCAGTAATTTTACAAGCTATTCTAAGATTTCAACAAAACCGAAGGTTGTGAGGGATGCTGGAGTTGCTCTGGCGTCTTTAGCAATGTGCGAGGAAGCACTTGAGCATGAACTTCTGATATCAACCTCGTATGTTTCCATCTATTTCTAAATATTTTTAATGTGTTTGACTTCTTATACACATCTTTAAAATTGCTCATTACTGTGACAACTAAGGGTTACATGATGTTTTATGTATGCATTCTGTACTTACAGTTACGTACCAGGAATGGAAGTTACTCTATCCAGCCGCTTGAAAAGCTTGTACAGCATTTATAGCAAGGTTCGTTTACCTTAAACTTATTTCTATGTTGTAGTGGCACTTTTGAGAATGGATTCTGAGACTGAATCAATGATCATTGGACATCTTCAAATCATGTTGAAGATCACTAAATAAGATTCACCTTGCAAAGTGCAAACAGTGTGAAATCTTTTCTTGAAGTGCAAAGTATATGTAGTTCATTTGGCTGAGCTGAATTTTTGTATCTGGTGAAATTTGGCTTTGTGCTGGATATTAGAAAATGGCTCTAATTATTTACCAGTAGTAGTAGTAGAAATTACGAGTACTCTAGCTATTTGGTGAATGCTAATTGGGTGGCCTATGTTTGATATATGTTACTTGTGTATAACATTTTTCTCCTTTGTCTGTCTGTAGATGAAAAGAAAAGATATTGACATCAACGAGGTCTATGATGCACGCGCATTACGGGTAATTATTGGAGATAAGGATGGAACTCTCCACGGACCTGCTGTGAGTTGTTGCTACAGTGTCCTTGACATAGTACATAAGTATGTAATTTAACAATCACCATTTCAATGAACTTTTAATGAACTTTTGTTGATTTTGATTGTGTGCTTCAGAAAATTTTACTATCTCAATCATGACTTGTTTTTGTGTGCTTTCTCAACGTTATGTCATGTTATGGTGTCTGATAAGAGTTAGCTGCCTCATGCAGGCTCTGGTCACCTATTGATGGCGAGTTTGATGATTATATTGTTAATCCGAAGCCTAGTGGTTATCAGGTTAGATCCTCCTGCGTCAAATATGACTGTCCCCAGCTTTTCTTTTTTTATTGAGTTTCATATTCTTTGAAGATGTAGTCGTATATCTCTGTTCAATTGTCTTAGATTTTGTGCTTAATGGACCTCTATGCTTAATTGCTTAGTAGTATTGTAATACATTCCGGAGACTGGTGGGGATACTCAAAAAAGAACAAAGAAAAAAACTATGAAGGGAAGCCTTTTTTATCTCTTAAATTAAGCTCCTATTAAAAATGAAAATGGTACCAAATTGCCTCATCATGTGTTATGTTGAGTTATTTTTTTCTATTTTCTGTCAAAACTTAGTTTCAACGTCTAAAAATGGGTCTTCAAGCCTGTATTCATTGTCTTTGCTAAGAGATTGAACCTTGCAGCTCTTGACTACCAATACAATGTAATACCGAATTAGCCACATACGACATACCTGAACCAAACTCAATCTAAGAACTTTGTAGACCTACCGGTAGGCTTGTTATGGTTCCAAACCAACTTATATGACCCTGAGGAACACCTCATGCATTCCCTTCAGTTTTGGAAAATTTTCCAAATTTGTCCAGAAAGCGTGGATTTTTGGCTTTTTCGGAACCAGGAAGAAAAGAGGTCAAGATGCTTACCGTAGACCCCATGACACCCTGAGAGTCTATTTCTGAATGGATGGAACTATCTTATTTGCCTTTAAGCCGGCAATTTAGCCATTAATAATTTACGCCTCCCTTCATCAACTCAAGGCCACCACAGGTCATTATATAGTTCTAAACAACATTATTAACCTCGGGATGTATCCCTATTATCCCGAGATTTTTTAATGCCAATAACCTCTAAAATTGGTCTAATTTCGTATATTAGCCTTCGGATATTTTTTTACTACTTTTTCGGACCCAGAAAGAAAAGAGATCGAGGTGCTTCCCATGGACCTAACGACATCCCGAGAGGTCATATGGGTGGTTGAAACTGTCCACTTTCCTTTAAACCGTCAATTTATCCATATACATACATACCTCCCTTAATTAACTCAAGGTCACCATACCTCCCTTATTTTATGTGAATGAAATGGTCATATTTGATTTAAACAACCTTATATGACCTTAGGATGCATCCCCTGCTACCTTGAAAGTTTACGATACTGAGTCCCACCTCCAAAATTGGTCTGAAAACGTGAATAATAGCCTTCAGTTTTGGAAAATTTTCAATTTTTACGAAACCAAAAAGGAAAGTGGCTGAGGTGATTCCTATGGACCCTAAGACACCCCGGGAGGCCATATGGGTGGTTGGAATCGTCTACTTTGCATTTAAACTGTCAATTTACCCGTATACAACTTACGCACTTTTATTGACTCAAGGCCACCACGAGACTTTATGTGACCGACTAATGGCCGTTTATGGTTTCTCCTACGATCTCATGAGTTTTGGAGACCAGGTCCCAAATCTTTGAAAAAGGTTCTGGTTTGTGTTTTATAACTTTCAAATTTGGCTTCCATAAAACATTTTGGACTATAAAAGATCATGTATTGATTCCTAGGGTTCCTAAAGGACCCTGGGAGGCCTATTGGTGCCCAGATTTCCATATTTGTCATCGTTTTTCTTTTAGTGGCTTTTATATGAGATGAAAAATATGGACCCTAGGTGACTCTTGAGAGATTACATAATGGCATATATTATAGGCCTACGCATGGCTTAAACATTGGACATCGCTGTTCCTGGCCTTGGTTGAGGACATAGGATAACCACATATACAAGTCACATCTGCAAGCATTCACAACATAGTTCAATAGGAGTCAGATATTAGGGTGGCCTTCATGAAAGTGCCCAAGTTTAGGTGCTACAAGGAGATCTATAACCACCAAAATATTACCTCTTTTTGCTTGTTTGTTTGGAGCCTGATGATTTTTTTTGTAGATTCATGTCTATATCTGATTTGATTTTGTATGTTTAAACTGTTTTTATTTGTTTATTACAGTCTTTGCATACTGCTGTACAAGGTCCTGATAATTCAGCCTTGGAAGTTCAAATAAGGACTCAGGTTAGCTATTACATCTCTCTTTCTCACTGCTTGTTTGGCTTCTAACCAAAAGTTTTTGGGAATTTGCTGGTAGAGGATGCATGAGTACGCTGAACATGGACTTGCTGCACATTGGCTCTACAAAGAGACCAACAACAAATCACTTTCTGGTATAAGCTTGGGTGATTCCCATGGACAAGAGCTCTCCAATTTTTCACAAGGCTTGGAGGAGCAAAGTTCTGTAGGAGATATATATTGGAAGTATAGTTCCTTGAAAGCAGGACATCCAGCACTTAGAGTTGAACGAAGTAACTTGCTTGCTGCTGTTATCATCAGGTAGTTTATGATTTGATATCAAATGTTAAATTAACAATGCTTATACCTGGTCGAGTTTATCTCATACATGCTCATGAAACTCCTTGTCCAGTGTTGATAAGGATGGAAGAGAATTACTTGTTGCTGTCAGCTTTGGATTAGCAGCATCTGAAGCAGTTGCTGACAGAAGAACATCTTTCCAAATAAAGAGATGGGAAGCGTACGCTAGGCTATACAAAAAAGTACTCCCTAATCCCCTGTTTCTTCAAAATTTATTATTGTCTGAAGTCTTCTGCATGTATCAGGCTGAAGCACCCAGTTTGCTGTTTGACTTATTTCCACTTTTCAATCTTTATATCACCTTCCAGTTACCCGTGGCATCTTAACTTTATTTCTGTTTTTAAATCTTGTATCATGCCTATTCTAGCAACAACCAACAGCAAGCTTCCCATAAATCTAAATTTTTGAATGTGCTTTTCATCTTAGTCATGCAGTGGGTTTATTTCTTCTCAGTTGTTGCTAACTTTCTTTGCACCATATTAGGTGTCCTTAAATGTGCCCTAGTGCTTCTTGACATTTAATGTGTGAATACTTTCCATAGCTTGGAATCTGGCGCTGACCACCTGGATCAGAGATGTACGCTTGTCAACTCACCTGTTACGTTTTCCATATAGTCTACACAATCCATTGCATTGCTTTTCCTGGTTAAATACCCTTACTGAGTTACATCATCTACAGGAAACAGTACTCGTGATTTTAGGTGTTGACCTTATTGTCTGGCTTATATCGCTTTGATGATTGCTTATCAATATAAGTCAATGCCACTTCCTTTTTATATTGATGTGTACCACCCGAGATTATTTTTTGGATGTTCTCAGCCTCCCATGGTAGCTCAAAAACTTGACCCCTCCAAATAATAGGCCACAGATGATTTTTGTGATCAGCCGTGACGAATTTGACCATTATCTTCTATCAGAGTATTATTAATAAGATACAAGACAATTTTGGCAAACTGTTTATATTATAGCTCAATATGTGTCTTTATGAACAGATGTATTTATTCTCTTCTACTTGAGCTGTATAATCAGAACATGCAAACCAATTAATAATTTCAGTCTGAAATTAACTTTCTCAGACCCCTCTTTCATAATTTAGCAAGGCTCACCATGGTTATGTCTTGGTCTTTCTATTTATATTTCTACTTTAAACTTTTTGCTCCAGGTCTTGGATGAGGGATGGTTTGAACCAGGACATGGAGATTGGTGTACATGTCTTGAAAAATATTTACTTTGCCGAGATGGACTATATCATAAGGTATGTGAGTGTGGCATCCACTAGCTTTCGATAAGTGAGTTACTAAGGCTGATTGTATTCGATATAAAACAGCTAATTAGGTTTACTGAAACATATCTCTTGAATCTCCCACCCCCCCCCCCCCCCCTCTTTAAAAAAGTGAAATAGAAAGAGAAACAGATGAATTTTACGGAAATATTGGTGAAGGTAACTAATTTGTGTGGATGATGATGTACTATAGATTCAGTGATGGGGGCCTAAATTACAGAATTTCCCAGTTGTGTTGTCTGTTAACCACTAGAATCAGGCCACCAGGAAGCAGTACCTAGGGATGTCCAAATAGGGGGCTCAGTGGCGTGAGCCACTAGTGTAGGTTAATATCCAATTGAGTATTTTGTTCATGATATTCAAGCTGCAAGTACTATTGGACCTATATATCATAGTTAATAGGGACCTTAGTGGCCACATGAGATTACAATGATCGAGCAGAAATATCTGGTATACCAAAAATTGAGCTATTTGAATATTAACGATTGATGACATTTATGGAGTCTATGTAATTAGTTATGTTCCAATGCAACCAATCTGAGTAGCTTTTTCTATGAGAGGGGAGAGGGGAGAGGGAATAGGGAAGAGCGTCATGGAGAGGTAATGTTTATGAATCAGACTGCAGGTAAACTTTAACTAGACTGTATCAATCAAGCGATATCATGCTTTGTACATGTGCAGCTGAATCAAATATAATTCTGACATGTGAATTTTACTGATATCCTTGCAGCAAGATCAATATGATCGTTTGCTGCCAACATTTACTCAGGTTATTGACCTGACTGAGGAAGAAGAGTCTAATTACTGGACTGTCATGTCTGCTGTTTTCGATGGGAAAGATGTTGATTCAGTTACGTCTTGTTTGGGGAGCTGTAAGACACCCATGTCTGGTGCTTTTTCTTCTTCTAGCGAAGCTAATATCAATAACAAGGTCTGTTGACCATCCCAATCAATTCTGATGATTTTCAGTACCAGTGTACCACATTATCCTATCTTCTTTTATTGGTGTTCTATTATATATATTAAAAACTATTTTTATCAGGCTACCCCAATCAATTTTGATGATTTTCAGTACCACATTATCAGGGTGTTTTTTTTTTTTTTTTTCAATTTAATGTGAATGTCTGACATTTGATGTCTTAATTTATCAATGCCACAAAGTTGTTACAATTGTTAACATGAAGTTGTACTTTTTACCTAAATTGCCTGAAATTCCCGACATTATGAGCTCATTAATTGGTATATTTTCAGGTTCACTTACTTAGGACAATGCTCCAATGGGAGGAGCAGATATTTTCTGAAGTAGGGCTGAAACAAGGCACCAAGTTGAGTGAATCATATGATGATTCCTTAATCATTGGGGAAGTAGCAGTTGTTTCTTGGCCAGATGGTGATATTGTACGGTTACGAGCTGGCAGTACTGCTGCAGATGCTGCAAGAAGAATTGGGCTAGAAGGAAAGTTTGTTTTGGTAAATGGTCAACCGGTACAACCCAATATTGAACTAAGAGATGGTGATGTGGTTGAAGTAAGACTATAAATTCTGTATGTGCATAGAATTCTTGTAGCTTAAAGCTACACAACAAAAAAAAAAGTGTATTTATGTTTTGTCAAGTGTACATAAAACTTCTGTATATTTGTCAATAGTCATAATTAATCTGCGAGAACAAAATTCTTAAAGCATCAAATATCTTATCGCTTACTTTACAGCTTGCTGCATTGCTGCAATCAAACAAGTCAACTCATATATTCTCTGTCCTGTTTGAAAGCTATCTACAGACAGTCGTTTACCAAATGGTTCACAAGATTTTGCAAAAATTTGATACATAACAGAAGTACATCATTAAGCCTATGACCCCAAAATTATTGCAATACTTGTACAATCAAACTTCCGGGCCTTCTGCAAACACTTAACCGCAACATCTTATAGTAACATTTTATGACAATCAACAACCAAGAAAGAGTAATACTTAGTATACTGATCCACATACATTGCACTTTTCATCAAGAAAAAATGTTGGTAATTCAGTTACAATGCAGCAAACTCCTACAGTATACGACTGTAAAGTCGTTCAAGATTCTTGTTGGGAACATATAATTTCTATATTTCAACACCCCCCCCCCTCCCTAAACGAAAAATTTCTTATTGGAAAAAAAAATCAGAAGTGCAAAAAATAATATATCATAGCTATATAATTTTTTTTTTTTTTTTAATAAATAAAAAAAAAAAAACCCTGTAATCTAGTCTAGGGACACGACAATTAAACTAAAGTGTGGTGCTGTCAGATAAACCATCATCAAAAGCTTCATAATCGTCTTCATAATAACCATTGTCTTGGTAGTCTCCATAATCATTTCCTTCTTCAAATTTATCCACTGTCTCCAACTCATCCTCATTATTCTCACCTTCAGCTTCAGTTTTGCTAGTCCATGACATACCATTCTTTTCCATATTGGTTTCTGACATACTCTTCTTTGGGTTATCAGGAATTGCCTGCAAAGACATGCAAACCAACTCAATAGTCATAATTGATCCTGAAATAGAAATCATAAGGTTGCCAGTCCACCACCTTTGACCACGGCTCACTCCAAAAATTAGCACCACAGATCAATTCAATACCCTATAACCTAGTAAGACTGTGCCATAATAATATAATATAATATATCTACTTTCAATTGATAAAACCAAATAGCAATGTTCCAACACACTTCAAGGAACAATATAAGATTTTAGTTTTGTAATTAAAAAAAACAAGATACTTGCTCCATTTTTTTATTTTTTTTTTACTTACATTGTTTCCACAATTTACAGTATTAACAGTCCACTTCAATAACATTTTGTGATTTATACTTCGAGAAAATAATAGTCCTATGGGATATTGCTGGATCTGTCTCAATGTGCACTATATTATAATTTATTTTTAATAGTTTTTACAAAAGTATAATTAAAAATGTTAGTAGTTAAGCATTGGAAAACGTGATATATATATATATATATATATATATATATATATATATATATATATATATAGGTAAAAAAATAAAATCTACACTGAATATTAATGATATGGTTAAATAAAAACTTGCATTTTCATAAAAGTGGGTTTACTAAATTCAAGAAAAGCGTCAGGAATGGTGAATACAATAAAGAAGCATAACACTCCTCCCCAATAATTATTATGGGTAAAGATGCTGCCGAGAAAAATACAAAGAAACAATGTTACCAAGAACAATTGCGCTTTGGATATGGCAAATATTGCCATGGAAAAAACTTCACCCATATGTCGAAAACCATCAAAATAACTTACAGAAGAGACAGTCACAGTAATGGATTGTATAACATAGAGAGGTAAGTCATATTTTACACAATATAGATGTATCTTCAAGTAACACCCCTAAAGAAATCTGGAAAAGAAAAATAAATTTATGTACTTACAGGTTCATCAAACAGTTCCTTCAATCGGTCATATTTGATATTTGTACTGGTCCTCCTCTGAAACCAATAATAAATTCAATAGATATTAGAAATTGCATGCAGTTTTTAATCAGATGAGAGATGGACTAATGTCTGTCCTACGACAAGGCTAATAATAATCTATATTAAAAAAATATTAGAAATGGATACAAAGGGGATCAACAACATGCCAACCAATAATCAGAAAGACCATATTTTAAAGCACCAAGTAAAGAAGAAATCAACACCATTTCATAATATGGCAAACTTTACCTTTTTAGATAGCATTTGTTCAACAAAATGCCAACCAGTAATCACAAAGACCATATTTTAAAGCATCAAGTAAAGAAGAAATCAACACCATTTCATAATATGGCAAACTTTACCTTTTTAGATAGCATTTGTTGAACTGCTTCTGCAGTAGTCTGAGGATTCTTTGTTTCAGCAGCCCTTTTTAGCTGGCGTCCCTGAAAAGAGGAACTTAAGGATGAAAAATAGTCGTATATGGTCATATCTGCATCCTTGTTGGAATGGTTTAATAGAATCACCAGTATTCTTAAGCTTGGATTCAAATTATTCAACATTCAAACTATAAGGGCATAGGAAATAGGTATGGAGTACTAGTTGAATGACACTGAGAGGATCAGATGAGCACAATAAAAGCACAAGAGATGGGGAAAGGACTTCCGTTATTCAATCAATCAATAAATCAATCAAAGTCTTAATCCCATAAGTGGGGTCGGCTGCATAAACCAAAAGTGATTATTCCGTTTAGTTATCCACAAAAATCTTCCTCCTCTTTCCTTACGACCAAATACCTCATTCTCATGCAAATCTATTTGCTTCATATCCTTCCTAACTCCTTCCAACCAAGTCATTTTCGGTCACCCTCTACCTCGTTTAAGCTCTCCATGATCCCACTCTTCGTACTGGTGCACCTAGGATCTCCATCTTACATGCTCAAACCAACACAGACGATTTTCCCTTACTATGTGTGCAATGCTTGCAACACCCACATTCTTGCAAATAACTTCATTTCTAATTCTATCTCTTAGAGTGTTCCCACACATACATCTTAACATGCACATAAGGGCAACAAGGTAAATTAATATTATCACGAATAATTATTTAATATTACACTTCAGCCTGGGCTCCGGGCAGTCGCCGGCAGTGGGGGGGAGAAGGTGGTTGGTCTGGTAGAGGGTGGGGGTGGCTGGGTTGGGTAGGGGAAGGAGGTGGTTTTTTTTTTGTTTTAATTATTTATAAAATTATTATATTGTTTAATAAAAAAACAAACTATATAGTTAAATATTTAATAAAAAATTATCATTAATGTTATAAATAACTTAATATAATAATTCAAGATCACCACAGAGAAAACTAAAAATAGAGTGTTACCACAGAGAATTTCCCAATTAAAAAATATGAGTCGTAGTGAAAACTAAAAAGATTATAATCTAAAGAACATATTCTTTAACCTTATAGAAAATACAAAATCATAACATGGCCCGAATTGAAAAGAATGTAAAGTTAACGAACATATAGTTCAACCCTAAAGAACATAGGTATTTTGATTGAGCGCACCATCTAATTTGTAACCTACTGGCCTACCACTAAAAACAAGAGTTAAAAAAAGTTCAAAATCCATTCACCAGAAAGAAATATGAGCCAGCAAAGAAAAAGCAGGAGAAAAGAAAGAGAGCATCAAGATATCAAGGGCAAAGATGAGTTACAAGCAGAAAAAGTTACTTTTTTCAACTTTGCATAATTTGCAGCAGCTTCATCAGCCAGTTTTTTGGCATCAAGCGCCTGTGCTGAACCATTTTCAAACTTGGCCATCGTTGCTTCCCTTGCAGCAGCTTCTGCTTCTTTAGCTGCTTGTTCCTGCACACATGGTCCACATCAAGTAAAAGTAGAAGGAGAAGGTGGATAATCTGACCTTTAGAGTGTAAAGGTATAAACAAGATAATGACTAACATTCCAAATATGATAAACCTTAATCTAGTCTATGTAATATACCCAGGATTCAATAGCACAAGTGGTTCTCCAAGAAAACATAGTAGCATGTTCTTGGAGTCAGATTAATGGGAAAGTATAAATTTCTTACATTATCAAGTAAAATTTCTAAACCACCCCACCCCCCCCGGAAAAAAAAAAAAAAAAAAAAGAAAAGGAATTACACACACACCAAACACACATTTGAACTAAGTGTCCACATAAGACATACAATACAGAAAAGCCACTTGATGACTGTGTGATCACTAAGTCCTTATCCACATACCCATTGACCAATACTTATTTAAAAAGACAGCAGAGACTGAAATTCTAGAAGTATTGTATCTCCCATGCAAGTATGCATCAAAGGACATATTCCTCTGTGACTGTAAGATAATCTTAACTTTTCTGCTAACTCTTTAATACTGCTTCATATTTATTGATATAATCCAAGCCATAATAAACATACCCATATCCGAAAGTCATGAATCCTCCAAGTCTCTTTAAAGAAACTATGCTAAATAGCTTGCAGCATACATATAAATTATCAAAAAGCAAAGTATTATTTGCATTATGGAGCATAAATGCAACTTAATAATATGTGTTACCTGAAGGTATTCTTGATTTAAGCCCTCCCAGATTTGCTTCTTGCAGAGCATTTGTTCTTCATTATACAAGTAGCCGGCAACCTTCAAAAAAAAAAAAAAAAAAAAAAAAACCAAATTAAAATTTCATTACAAAATATACTTCCTCCGTTACTTTATAGTTGAACCACTTCCCTAAAACAAAAATAGCACAATGCTTGCAACACACCATATAAGGTAACTTTTATTTGCCAAAAGTTACAATTTTATCCTTACGTAACAAACTTAATTTTATTTAATTAACCTTCACCTTTTAATAACTTTCTCTCTCTCTCTCCTCCCAATCCTTTACCTCATGAGCAACCCACGTTTAAGTCGTTAACCACCCACCATTATTCCCACCATAGCCGACACTACCCCCACTGTGGCAGTGATTAACCCAAGTACCCAACCAAAACCAACGCCTACCTAGTCAAATCACCATCCTCCATCGCTGAACTCGTCAAAACCACTACCAACCTCACTAAAACCACCGACTACTTCCACGAATCTGGCCAAAACCACTACCCACTTTCACCACTCTCATCAAAATCACTAGTCTACCACCATAGTTTTCTGAAGAACAGAGAAAATGGGCTAAATAAAGCATATGTGATCTAAATCGACCACATGTTTCAGATCTAAGACTTCCAATGCCAACTACAACCACTGAGAGGTTGAATGTTGCCTAGTTCATTCTCCCTCTCTCTATTGATTTATTTTTAATGATGGGTTCTTCATTCTTTTTACTCTCCTATCATTCCTGAAATTTCTCTTTTGATTCTATGTTTTTAATGGTTGGTTGAAGGGGTCATGAAGGTGATGATGAAGAAAAGGAGGAAAGGAAGATGGGTTGTGGCAGCAGTGGTGGTGGAGCTGGGTGTTCAGGTCATTGGTAAGGATGCAATTATGGAGTGGGCTGGGCGATTAGAAGGATTAATTAAAGTGTGATAAGTCAAGTACGGCCCACCAATTCTACTTTCTTCAAAACTGTGCAAATGGGTATCTTGCAACAATAAAGAAACAGGAGAAGTATAAATCAATTAGAAAAAAAATAGGACATGACTTGGACAGCTTCTATAGTTTTTAAACACAATATGTAAATATATTCAAAGCAAAACAACATTTTTCTGCCAAAAATAGACTATATTCGGACAATTAAAATGATACTAATATTGAGAAGATATTAAAAGGGTTATCACCCAAACAGAGATGTACTCCCTCCGTCCCATATTATTTTCCCCATTTTCCCTTTTGGGTGTTCCAAAATAATCCTCCCATTTTATTTTTTCCCATTTTTAGACACTATGAAAAGACCAAATTGCCTTCACTTTATTTGGTTTTTATTCACGCAATTTCCTAAAATACCCTCAAATTTTATGTAAATAATTGTGACATTGATCAAGATGTGGCCCACGGGATTAAGTCGGGTTGCTTAAATGGAGAGCGGCCACGGGAGTGTTATGTGATCAAAGCATTCCCTTACAGTTAGAAGGGAAAAATTTGGGAAATTCTACATGACTGCATAAGACCAATGTTGTATGGTTATATGGTGCAAAATGTTGGGCTAAGATGGAGCACATTAAAAAGATGGAGGTTACAGAAATGCGCAGGTTAAGGTGGATGTAAGGGAACACTCTAAGAGATAGATTTAGAAATGAGGTTATTCGCAAGAAAGTGGATGTGGCAGGCTAGGTTGCACGGAAACGGATACGGGGACAAAAACGGGTACGGATACGGGGACGGGATACGGCAAAATCAAAATTTCTAAAAACGGGTACGGCATGGATACGGCAATAAAAAAAATATTAATCCATAGAATGTAAAAAAAAATAAAAATATAGTACTATTTAAAACGAAAAAAAAAAAAAGGCGGAAAATGACTTCTACCTACTGGACTGCCATCTACAGACTACAGTCACTGACTTCAAATAAAAAATTAAAAAAAAAACAACAAAACTTAAAAAAAAAAAAAAAAAGAAAAGAAAAGAAAAGTAAACAGCAGGTTTGAGAAAAGAGAAAAAACGAGAACTAGAAGTCTAGAAGCAGAACAGAGGGAGAAGAAAGTGAAACAGTTACAGGTCGAAGCCGAGCCGGTGTCCGGGTTGTCGCAGGTGGTCTCCGCCTCTCCGGCAGCCGCAGACAACTAAATCAGGTCGCACCTCCAAGGGAATCGCCGTTCATAATTATTAGGGTTTTAGAGAATTGGGGAAAATTGAAAATCATGTTCGTAATTCACTAATATGAGGTTTTTTTTTTAGAAGAAAGGGCTGGGATTCTAAGGAAACGTCAGAAAATGGGCCAAGCCGTCCCCGATACGTATCCAAACTAGAGGCTAGTCGTCCCCAAATTAGCTTGCCGTACCCGTCCCCAAAACGTATCCGGTACGGGAGACGGCAGCCATTTTGGCGAATCCATGCAACATTGGTGGCAGGCATTGAAGACAAATTAAGGGGAAATTGCCTGCGTTAGTTTGGGCAGAGACCCGAGGGTGCACCGATACGAAGAGTGGGACCATGGAGGGGTTAAGCGAGGGAGAGGAAGACCAAAAATGACTTGGTTGGAAGGAGTTAGGAAGGATTAAAAGTATATGGATTTGCATGAGAATGAGGCATTTGATCGTAGGGGATGGAGGAGGAAGATTTTGCCGATGACTACACGGAATAATCACTTTTGGTTCATATAGCCAACCCCACTTGTGGGATTAAGGCTTTGATTAATTGATTGATTGATTTGTGCCCCCACTCATGTGCATGTACTTTTTTTCTTTATCATGCACTTATTATTTGTGCCCCACTGGCATTTCTTGTACTTTTCTCTCTTTTTAATGTACTTCATGTACTTTCTCCTTCCATTTCTTAATTCCCGTGAAATTTTCACAATGGCAAAAACAATATGGGACGGAGGGAGTAAGCAAATAAAAGTGTCTTAGGCAACCAGCAGTATAAGGTCAAAAAAATGAAAGGAAAGACTCTGCACTTTCTGCAATCTCGCACCATCACAGACACTGTTATTCCAACATTTCCCTTCACGTCAAACAAAAAAAAAAAAAAAAAGGATCTCTCACAGCTCACACCGTAACAGATACTGTTATTTAGACATTTCTCGACAGACTTCCTCCTCTTCCCAACCACCCCTTAGTTACAAACCCAAAAATTTCTTTATAACAGTTTACAAATCACTATCTGGTTTTATGGTTTACCAATCAAGTTTACAGCTCAAAATTTCATAATTTATCACACGTGTTAAACACCTTAGACATTCTAAGCTCAGTTGGTCGCCTTATTATTGTTATTGTTGTTAAAAAAGGAAAGAAAAGGAGCTTAAATGACAGTGCAGCAGTCACAAACATAAAATAGGGGTTAAAAAAAAAATTAAAAAAAAAAACAAAACAAAAAAAAACATTTGACTATACGTCATCGTCATCAATGTACGGAAAAGTTTCCAGTTTCATCGCCTTCTATACCCATGTAATCAGATTTTTAGGATTCCTTGCCACTTGTTGGGTTTGTAACGAAAGAAGGGTAGTTGTATGGTTTTCCAACCAGGTTAACAGCTCAAAATTTCATAATTTACTCGATACACACTGTTAAATACCTTAGACATTTTCTGATGGTCCATCTTAACATTCTAAGCTCAGTTGCTCGAGTTACTATTATTGTTATTAAAAAAAAAAAACGTATAATGGAACAAGTGATGTGCAGACAAATGACAATACAGCAGTCACAAACATACAATAGCAAAGAAAAAAAAAAATAAAATAAAATAAAATAAATTAAAGAAGAAGAAGAAATTTGACAATACCTCATCGTCATCAATGTCCGAAAAGTTTCCAGATTCATCGCCTTCCACGCCCATGTAATCAGATTTAAAGAATTTTTCACCACCATCATCTACAGCCTCATGCTGAGCTTTGATACCTGATAAATCAAAAGATTTAAGGGCAAAGCCGCGAAGTAGATATGTTATTACTTATTATGACCACTTTCTGATTTTTATGACAAAAAGGAAGAAAAAGAAGACAAACAATTAACACCTGCGGCTGTCATTTGGTCAATTCCGCCAGCACCAAGTCTTCTTTCTTTCTCCATCTACACAAAGGAATAATGAGTAATTAGATAGAGAAGAAAAGTAGAAGCCATCAGAGATTTTAAATATATAATAGAAAAACATACTGCAACATGACAAGAAGATGACCTGAAAACCACTCATGAGATAACACAATATTCATTGCCAACGGAAGAAAAATATAGGGAGTATGGACAATAACACTAATGAACGGAAAACCGCACAAAAAGCATTTAAAATGTTCCAAAGTGGGAATAACAGATATAATACAATTTCATATATTGCCCCCCCCCCCAGAAATACACCTTCATACAACTTCAGGTAGAGGAAGAAACTAAAAGATAAGGTTTGCACTGTCATTATAGTTCAGAACTGAACTATTATCATTACCAATTGTATTAAAGTTACAACTTTCTTATGAGTAATTACGAAGTATAAATAAGCAATAGACTAAAAAAAGTAAATATCGATACCAGAATAAGTGATCTTGCATACAATAATTATGATGCAAGTAAAAGCAATACCAGTACTTGGAGTAACTTAATTTGGATATGGGAAACTTTTGATGGGATGTATGTAAAATGATAAATTCTTATGGGATATGAAGAGACATTTTATAGTTAAGGTGATTGCAGTTTTGCACTGTCTCAACAAAACAGATAGTAATTAGGGGGGAAAATGCAATCACTAGAAAAGCACGTATTGATTTGCATGGCTGCATTCACACACATGTGCCCTACCAAAATCTAGTGTTCAGTAACAAATCTGGCCATATAATCTATTGCTGTATTCACAAGTCAAATTTTGGTCATTTGTCTTTATTGTGACTCCGCCAGTGGGTTTCCTGCTCCAGTCCCAAGCCTGGATAAAAGAGGAGGGGTTACGGTAGGCCAGTGACAACTTTGTCACATCGCTTGACATGAGCCACAATGATTGAAAGTAGTACTAGGATGGGTGACCTCCTAGGAAGTCCTCATGTTGGTTCATGTAGCCGACCTCACTTATGGGATTAAGACGTTCAAGCAAGCAAGCATTTGTCTCATTGTATTCTACAAACATTTATTTTAACTTGATTGTAAAAAAACTAGTATTCTATAGGAGGCAGTAAAATCATTGAAGGTGGGAGAGAGAGAGGTACCAAACTTGCACGCCTCAAAATACATATATTCTTACAAAAGGGCCAAAAAATAAAATTTTCCAGTTTCATATTCTATACATTATGACCCTCTCTTCGTGTAAAAGAATCCTATCAAGAAAGGGTTAAATGTAGTGGGGTCTGTACTTTAAATTTTTCTTTAATCAATGTGCAAGCAATTCAATATTCATCACAGATAGACCACTGTAAAATGATATAGGGATATAAGATATGACATAACATAAATAAAACAAGTGGAGAGGCAAATGATGCAAATAAGGACTGATATAAAATTGAAAAAATAAATAAATAATAAAATTATGGACAGTACATTTGAGTGTTCACAACTGTTTTCCACAAATGCAGGTTCCAAAAGAGAATCTGCAGTGTTTTCCTTTGCACATGCTGCTGTTAATCTTTCTCTCTCAGCACGCTGGAAAGCTGGGGGTTCTGATCCCCCATCCAGACCTCCTGAAAGTTTTATGAACTGTATCACCCAGCCAGCATGAATTATGTTAAGACTACCAATGTTACATAGCTCAGCAATATAAACTGAATATTGTTAAAACAAGAGCCTGAGTAAAAGTAGAAAGTACTTCATGATAACAGCTTTCACAAAGTCCATGAGCAAATTGAGGCCCTCCACCACCCTTATGTTCGCAAAGCAATTCCTCTCCTTTGATCATGTTGTCTCCAAAGTTTGTATGTTTGCCTTTATTACCACTTCTGTCAAGCTCCTCAGCTTTTTGGTTGAATTCCTCTATCTGTTACACCCAATACATTCATAACAAACTGCTCTCCTAGGAACAAAAGAATGACAACTTCACAAGCAAATGACTAGTAACAGTAAACAATATACTACACAGCAGCACTCTACTACACTCTCATAGTGGTGTTTACAGCTATCAAACCTCTAGTCTTAAATTATTGATCCAACATTAGCCAAACCCCATAAAAATGCCAGATGTTAGGCTACCGCAAGTTATTTGAATATATATACGACATACACCAAGAGAAAGGATGAAATGGCTAAGCGATAGAAAAGCATGAGCAGGTGGTAGGATAAACCCTAACAAAGCTATGTGATCACCCTTTTAAGTTATTTTCTCCACTCAAAAACAGCGCAAACACCACAAAAATAAAACCCCTCCTGGATTAGCACAAACTTTGTCGAATTTACAAGAGCAAAAAGAATCTTTGATACTAAGTGATGCAAGAGCAAGTAGACGGTTTTCATTAATTATTAGTCGGTATTATATCAGGAAATTATTTAGTTCTATCATTAATATTGTTATTTTAGTAGATAATATATCTTATTGGTTATGGAATTTTATCTTTTTAGAGTTTATGTTAGTCGAACAACCCTATATAAAGGGATTATAGTATTGTTTTATGGGCAGATATTGATTATATAAAAATATATTAGTTGAGCTTTAGTGCTTAAATTTAAGTGAGAGGATTCTTGTTAAGAGTTCGAACGAGTTTGTTATCCTGGAATTTAGTGTCGTTGCCATTAAATCCACCCTTAGAAGTCGTTCCCTTCTAAGTTTTATCCTACAGTCGTCACGATCCGCATTACTAAGCCATAGACATTGCAAGTACAGGCTTTTGGTACCCCCAGTAGAATACTTTAAAAAGTCTGAGTTTACTTTGCCACTACCCATCCCTCATTAGGTACCAATCCACACACAACAACACGACAACGACAACCAAAAAAAAAGTAAACCAAAATTAAAACAAAGTGCATAATATGCACGAACCGTGAGGCCCCCTGATTCTGTTCCCTCAAATTCAATCAACCTCTTGGTCAATGTGGCTTCACAAATATGTACAAGTTTTACCTGCACAAAACAGTAAATCATGTCAGTGAAGGACCTAAAATCATTTTCCGTGTAAGCTTTGTAAAATGTACATTGTATTAGAGATAAAACATCAAGAACAATCCCATTAGTTGGTTTAAAATACAATCAACATTCTTCAAGAGTGATCCCAATCTTTGATTTGGTTAGTCTTCAGATAGACAAGGCAACCCAGAAATAAATGAATAAATAAATATATCAATTTAGAAAACATCAAAATAATACCAATGACCAAGCAAGCATCCAACCAAAATCAAGGCCAAGGGAGTTGCACCCCTTCACATTTGTTTTAAAATTAAACACATGTTTTATTCCCTAAATCAGACACAAATCTCAAATACATTTTACTCTCATTCACAAAGAATGTCACATGCCCCTACTATCCATTACTAAAACATTCAACTAAACAGCCATACCCCATTTAATTGTGTTGAAATCTATAGTGAAATAAGTGAGAGGTGGAGGGAGAATCTTATTCACAGGTATGTGCTAAACGAAAATGTTATGTTGGGTATTTTATGCATGTATAGATGCTTATGTATTAAGCTGGATCAAGCTACATGGAAGAAAGAAGCAAGAAAGGAAGCATGTTGAGCTGGAAAGATTGGCATGGTTGAATGGAGCCTCACAGCATGAACCATAGTTGTCAGGCAGCCTATATCCTTAGTCCTTAGACATGGCTGTGCAACTCTAGTGAGCCACATGGTTTATTACATATAAAAATTTCCTGAGTGCTTAATGACAAAATCAAGCAAGCAGCCACTTTTAAAAGTCGATTTTTTATGAAGATTAATCAGCTCTAGAGAAGTCTGACTTATCAAAACACATGTCATGAAAAGATTAATAATTTCATATCAAGAAAGATGATATAAAATAAATTATTTAAAAAAAAAAAAAACCCTAGCGTGCTGATAAGTTTTTCATTGACTTTATGTATGTCTCTATACCCTACTTGATACATTGGTGTCATAAACCTATATCTTGCTTAATCTCTTTTTCCCATACAAGTGCAAAACACCGACAAAAACAAGCTATGTAGTGCATAGTGACAATGAGAAATGTACACTTCAGGGAGTGCCCAGCGTCCGTCAAAGTTTGTAACTGTTTCCATAATCATCGTCTAAAATCTTTAAGATCTACTACAACCTATAGACTAGACCTTAATCAATTCATTGATCATGGCCATACTTTGTATGAGATATTGAGATGGACTCAATTTGTCAAACTAGATCATTATGGAGGAGGTAGCTTCAAGAAAGGAGAAGGTAAGAGAAAAACCCTTTGTTTTTCAAAATACATTTAGCATCTCATACCTTTTCACTTCTCTAGAAGCCCAAGAGTTTGAAAAAGAACCCTGAAGAACCTTAAAACTAAGAAAAACTGGCACATACTCAATGGAATGTCTGATGCATGGTTTGATGCCTATCAAATGGTTCTTACAACTTTCTTTCTGTATAGTGCAGTAGTGCACCACTACGTTTCGAAAGTAACCACCCTTCACACTTACATATTATCCAGCTTATCTTCATACTTATCTCAATATAAGGTTGAACCAAACTGATACAGAACAAGGTTCAACCCAGTTGATACAGAAGGGAAAATAAAATTAGTTGAGATAAAACCGAAAGAGAGAAGAGTAAGTGACGAGGAAAAGATTCTCCTTCCATTTGACTTAAGCTATTAAGGGTTGCAAGTAATTGCATCCTTCATTGGGACCTTCTTAACAACTTCTAGTGCTCCAATGTAAACAAAATGCTTAGAAAGGAGCCTTTATCTTTCAAAACTCATCCACAAGGAATCTAGACAAATTCCCTTTAAGAAGATCACGACACAGTGGCGGATCCAAGATTTGGGGAATGGGGGTACAAAATTAAGTTTGATAAAAATTAAAAAAATAATATATATATATATATTAATTTTTTTATTTTTATCAAACTTAATTTTGGTAATTTTTTTATTTTTATCAAGCTTAATTATATCAAAATGATATGTGGAGTGCAATAATTTTTTTCCTAACTAAATTTTGACTTATTAATCCATTTCACTATTGTATTAGTATTTGCATGTACGATACAACCATCCTCCGACAACAAGGCTTATATATGAGTAACTTAATATGTTTTTGGGTAAAACAAGAGATTATTTAAGAGAACAGGTATTTGCGACGTCTCTTTGATCTAAGAGACCAGTTTTTTAAATAAGTGGTATCTTTGAATTTAACACAAAAAGGCAGGCTGATTTGTTGTTTTGGCTAACTACATAACAGTACATAAGAGACCCTCTATTAAATACAGGCGGTCTCTTTTGTTATCAGTTTTTGGGCGTAATGGCGGTACAACTGTACCTCCGTGCACCCCCTAGATCCGCCAATGTCATGACAGTTTCTTGGCCAAAAAACAATAAACAGATAAAATAAAAAAATCTCCGTCATATAGCCAAAGCATCTGATAGACTGATCACTTCCATCAACATCAACCTATAAATAAAGAAAACAGTCCAATACGCTTCTACTTGTCTATAGGTTAAAACTGAATATTCTTTCTAGTCATTAGAGAGCCTTGAAAAGGAAACATTTTAATGGTTCCGATAATCTAGTTACCGTTATACGCCATTACCTTGTTATTAGTTCACTCCACAAGAAAGGCAATAATCAACATATGTAGATATATAACCTTAAAGGAATCGATCCACTCACTAAACAAACCCTTGATCTACTTTTTACTATAAAACCCACTAATGAAACCCTCCAAATGGAGAACCAAATGCTACTCTATGGGAAGAAGGAAACTCTCTTATCCACCACCCAGCCTCTTCATAACGAAGTAACATACTTAGCTTAATAACAATATTTCACTGTGCCTCGTCATTTGGAAACCTCTGGAGCCACTTTGCCTTTGAAAGCATCACTCATAATACAAAAGAATTTAATACCCAAACATCAATATTGCTTTGGGTGACGCACTCAATATAAGTTTTACCAAGAAAATTGTGACTATATCCATTGCCATTTCTTTCAAATGCAAACAAAAGGCAGATTATCAGGAGAAAGGCCAGAAATCAACCATCACTCCGATGAACATAATCAAACCTTTTTATTGTAAAGGATGCACAAGTCACTTTTAAATTCTATATACTAGCTATCAAGCACCAATTTGCATGATTCTCCAAGGTCCCCTGCCCTACCCCACCCCACCCCCTAAAAGAAAGATCATAATCATAAATGCCCATCGGTGTTGGAGTCACTGTTATCTGCTTCACAAACATAATGTAATAACATTCTACAGTTGCAAGTATGTTTATAAAGCAAGAACACTCACTATCTCTGCCTTTGAAAACTTGAAACCATGCGAAAGAGCTGATATGTACAGTGCTGCCCCACATAAGCCACTAGGCTTTCTCCCTGTCTGCATACCATGGCAATAGTAAGGAACTAGATATCTCACTATAAACACCAAAGTGTAGAAGGTATGAAAAATGAAGATCATTAAGTACCATAGATCTGATTCAACTTGATTACTAGCAATTGAAAGCAACAGAATTTGAAAGTAAAAGCAATGTTGACAGAAAAAACACTAACTGGAGCCATTACACCAACAGACATTAAAAATGCACAATTTCTGGAGCTTTGTCTGACCATTCAATTCTAACCATGCAGAACATAAATAGCTTGTTTGATATCACTTGAGATGCAGTTCTGAAGAAAATTATATCTTTTTTTTTTTTTGGAAAAGATAATAAACTTTACATTCAACAGAAGAAATCTACAAAAAAAACAACAAACCCAGGAGAAAAAAAAAGGGAAAACTCTATCAAGTCCATAGCTCATAACAGACCGGAATTACTTTACATCATCTATTCCATGAAAGTTTTTCAGCCCCCCACATGATAAAAATGAAACTGGGGAGGGGGGAGGGGGGGTGGGGAATAGACAATGTCAATACCTGCATCCAGTTTAGTTTCATGCTAGCCATAATACGTAAAGCAGTCTTCTCTACGTCATGGTTCACCTCCCCCAGCAGACCTGCAAATAATGAAGTGAATATTTAAGGACCTTTTTTTATCACGGATATGAGGTTGCAAAGCGCTTTCTCATACAATTCCACTCCTGCCCCGGGAAAAAAAATCCGAAAAAAAAGAGTAAAAGCCACCATGTAAAGGAGGAAAATAGACTAAAAAAACGTATAACTTCATCACATTAATGCACAAACTATCCAAGGCTTATAACATTAAGCACTGGTAATTAAGTTGCATAGATTATATTCACCAACCAGTGCAAGAAATATACTATAAAAAAGATTTACTAAATTCAAGATTTCAAAGCAATATGCCCTTAATGAACATGAGAAGTGAGTGTTGGAGCAGATGGTGAAACACTGATACACACTTTTGTCTCACATCGAACTCTGAACTTCTAAGCTCATCTTTATTACATTTTCCTCTCAATTACTTTTAAGAAAACCAAAACTAACAGAATATTAGAAAACAACAAAACACATTTAGGCCTCAGGGTTGAGCAGAAGAGATAAAAGAAATTAAGGCAAACTGCAGGATATAGAATATCATGTAAAATCTCTAAGGCATTAGAAAACTGTAGTCAATGAAATAAGGCATACCATTTGCAAATCGGTGAATAAACAGACTTGGATCCACTGGTTTTTGAACAATTGGGTGTTCTTGAAGGTGCAGTACTTTACAGAGCTGCAAAAATACAGCACCTAGCACATATCTGCAGTGCATATTTTATCAGGGCATGCAATAGAAAGTCATCTAGAGCCTTTTCATAAAAAAAATACATCAAAAAGAATGCATGCAAGGATAGGAAAAGGGAGATATAAATGACACATCAAATAAAACTATGCATACATGCAAGTCTATGTATTCATATATGCTGACTCAGAGAGCAGGATGATAGCAGCCTTACACATTCACTCGCAAAAACTCTGAAAATTCAATAAGGAGGAATGGTTTGTTGTTATCCCTGCACATATAAGAATCCCAACAGCTAATTAGGGAGGAAAATTATTTACCCATTAACAAATGCTATTCACATTAGTAATATAACATGGTAAGTAATCTTGAAATCTAGTTCTCAATAAGTTTACAATGAACTTTGAAGTCAAAATCAGCCTCAAATTAGCGCTGTGGATCAAATCAGTCAAAGGAATTCAAAATATATACTGCAAGGATTCTCTGTTGGACCTAAAACCCTTGGAAGAACTATACAACAAAGAGATAGTCAAATTCAAAAAGAAAAGGACAAAAGCTGTCCATCCTACAGCTTCTAGCCTTCTACATTAAAATAGAAACTGATTCATGTCTAAGCAATAGAAGTATAACAATAGTATTTAGTTGCCTTTCAAAAATGATAGGCCGGGAAGAATGGAAGATATTCTCAACTATTTCATCTATTCATTCATAAATTTAAGGTTCAGATTATCAATAAACAAAAAATTACAGGGGGGGCAGAGAAGGATTAAGGGAGAGAGAATGATCAGCATATTAAGATAGAATAGAGCCCAGGTGAAACTAGAAGCCTAGACAATCGTGTATATTTTTCCTTTGGTTACATAAATAAACAGTAACCCTTGTTCAATACTTTAAAGAGAAATAACTCGGCTACTAAGTTTCAATACAAAATTAATGAACCCCCTCTCGAAGTTGTATCCTTGTAAACAAAAATTGGTGTGCCATAGAGCATTAAGAGCAACTTCAATGGCAAGCTACAATAGTTTAACTTGCCCAGCCACATCAAATTTTATGCTAAATACTTTCTGACTTCAAAGTACTCGAATGGCTAGCAATAACTCATTGTAGTTAGCAATAAATTATGGAGTAAATAATGAATATAATTAACTTTATATCTACATGTCACATTGTGAGAGGAATTTGCTTTACTTAACAAATATAAAACTAAAAAAAAAAATTACAAAAAACTGCTTGTTTGAGCTACCCCTGCTTTCAAGCAAATATTATTTTTAAATACTCCAATTTTGTCAACCTACTTGATATTTTTACTTATTTGCAAGTGGGTCCCTAAAAGTAACCATTGGAGATGCTCTAAGGACTACAACCTTTAGACAGATCAACCAACAATGTACAAGCGACTTCTCTAAGAAAACAGCTCAAACATTGAGAGACATAAACTCAAATACAACTTGAATTCTTTCCCTCCAGCCATCCAGCGCGGCAATAACCATTGCGGCAAGTTTTCTTAAGTTATTTTATCACTAAAAGTCGCAAAACTGAGATAGATGCAACACAAATCCAGACTTGAATCGTGGCATGAAGAATCAAAATAAGAATTTGGGTTGACTTACCGGCATGTAATGTAAAGACATGCAGCTTGAACCTGTTCAGCTTTACGTCCACGCACAAAATTTTTCTCAACAGCTATCTTTAATAAATGTAGACACTCATCAAGACATATCATTATAAGTAAATTATGAATATCAGCAACAGGCTAAATTCTTTACAACTCACTTCATAAAATCGTACAGCTGGTCGTGCTAAAAGGTCTCCACCACCCACACCCAAGTTCTCAGCCATGTGAATAATGTAGTCATACGCTGCAGTAAAAGAAAATGAGAGGTTGAGATCATATAAATATATATATCAAGCTTCCAAACCCCATCCAATCCCTTACAAATTAAAAAAGGTAAAGGAAACAGCACTACATCAATACCCCCTGGGCCTGGCACACCTAAGTAATTTTTCTTATTTCTTAGGGAGCGGTGAGGCCGTGAGGGTGGAATAGTGGCATGTCAACTAAATAAGCGCCGTAGTTTAGACTGCTCACAGTAATTCAGAACCAACCGAGGAGAACTTTAGATTTTTGTGAAATGGGTCATGGTGCATATGGAAAAGAATGAATACAATTTCAGAGACTGTCCACAAAAAGAGAATTAGGAGGAACAAACGAACTTAATCAACGCTACAATTTCTCAATCATACCTAAAGTCCATAGAAGTAGTCTCAATCCCCAACCTTCAACTGCACTCTTGATCTTATTGCTTGCAAAAATTTTAACACAATAACACTCCCACTACCTCAAAATAGTAGACCACATAATTTTGAATTTGAAATGTGTCTACTTGTTGTCTGTAAATTTCTAACCTTTCCTTCTCAAAAGATTATAGCGCGGAGAGTAAGGAACCCTCGAATATAGAAGACAGATGAGAGATTGACTAGAACACCTTTTTTAACATAGGCTTTAATGCCTTATATACTGCATCAGGTGAAAAGGGGAGCGAGGTAAAAATTATAAACCTGCTCTAAATGCTTCACTGCTTTTTTTAAACATTACATTATCTTTTAATGCACATCAACTCAATATTTGATAAGTGAATAGCCAAGTTAGCAAGCATTGTTAACCAGGCCATATAAGGACTAGTCAAATTAACTTAGCAACTAGGATAAGGACAGGAGACATCCCATTCCAATCTTTATATACAAAAAAATCCAGAAACATGTTTATATATGTTAAGAAAGAGAAGGAATTAGCCTAGCCATAGAGCAACAAAGAAGCCTGCTACAGAAAATTATCCAGAAATTACTACTTCCCCCATTCCTTTTTAGTTGACATATTTAGACTTTTGATACTATTCATGAACTCTACTTTAACTAGCTTTTGTAAGTTATAATTACGTAAAACATATTCATGTGAGACCTTGTTGGACTTGTCTCAATGTATATTTTCATATTATCAACTTATTATAATTTTATTTGTCAATCATGAAAGATATTAATTGTTGAATTTGTGTGTAGCCAAATGTATTAATTAAAAAAAAAATAAAAAAAAAATAAAAAAAAATAAAACATGTCAACTCAAAAAGAACGGAGGAAATACATTGCAAAAGCATAAACTAGAGCAATCCAACAAGAATATATTTAGCAAAAAAATCCACAAACTACATTAAGAATAACCAAGTTTGGCAGTAATAATCACATCGATGTGATGCTAGCCACTACACACCTCTATTTAATGTCCTCTCCCTTGAAACTGCATTCTCAGTTTGTACAGTTTTCACATAATTCCCAGCCAACTGGCTCTGTAACATAGAAAATCACAATGTTACACCAAAGAGTAATAATGTAATATGTAAGCAAATAAAGCAACCAACTCCTCTTAACACAAAGCACCAACCTGCCCTGCTGCATTTTTAACAAAACTTGGCTCATTTGAATAAATATCATGATCAACGACCTTGCCACAAAGAGTACAACATCTAACAAAAGAAAACAAAAAAAAAAGGAACAAAATTAAGATATAATGAGGATACGAACCCACTTAATTTAGTATACATCATAGTGTGACGATTGCACTACTACATTACTCAAACTCTATAGGAGCATCCTTAACACACATAATTCTTCACTTCTCCCACCTCAAAATTTGTTGCTCGACCCACAAAGTTCATCACAGTAAATTCCTCATACTCGCTGCTCGACCCACAAAGTTCATCACAAAGTATTATCCCCACCCCCCTTCCCCACCCTTTCTAATCTTAAGTCCAAAAACAAAGTTTGTAACTTTGATGTGGAATGAAGAGTCTAAATAACATATAATCCAATTTCCAAGTCAAACCGTATTTAAAACAGGTCATCACAAAGTTCGAAACCCGAAAATAAAATTAACAGGCAAATATATAATACCAAATAGAAGGGTTTATAGAGGATAAGTGAACTCACACGTAACCCAATTCAGTTGTCTCAACAGGCTGACGTTTAGAACAGCTATTGCAAAATTCCAAGCGAATCATCCCCAAAACCTGAATTGATCAAACAATTTCAAATTAATCAAAACCCAACATATTTACAAGTATATAGCTCAAAATTGAAAATTCCCATTAAATTCTTCTCAATTAAAAATATGAATTGCAAAATTCTAGAAACGAAATCACGCGTTAAAATTTTGCATAGCTTCGGTAACTAAAACTAATAGTTCAATAATCCACCTTAGAAAAACCCTAAATTTGACTGTACTGACAGTAAAAAATTAACAATTATCACTACAATGTGAAATTGATATTCTATGATTAAATAATGAAAGAAAACATCTCACCTAGGAAGGTACTTCAATGGAGGAGAGAAAGCTCCGAAGCCGCCTCAATGGAGATTTCAGAGTACCCTTCAATGGAGGGAAAGGAAGGAGGCCGCGCAGCGTAAACGTTAAACGGTTAAAGAGCTCGAAAAGGGAAAATATTTTCGAGTAGGAGACTGAACATAATAATGTTAACCGTCATAAGATAGCATCAAATGTCAGAATTCATTCTCATTTTGTTTTATTGCTCCTGTTTTTCAAACAGTTGTGAGCCTTGGTTTGTGAAGTGACGCAAATTTCAACATATGATCGAATTTGTAAAATGTTGTCTTAATTTTAATACTACGTATTTTAATACTCGTATGTGGTATGATTGGTACAATTCTTCCTTTTTTTCCTTTATTTTACTAGTATTTCACATTAATTTACTACATAATATTTTCATGGAGTTTTAACATAACTTATTTCAACATATGATCGAGTTTAAATTATTCAAATGTTAACAATTTCGTTATAATTTGACAAATTTAATGTAGATATGTCATTGGGCGCACCTAACATTATAGTTGACGTTATCCATTCAATTGAGTTATCCCTATACCTAGAGATTACATTAAGTGTCATCAAATTTTCCAATTCTCAAAAATTGCATTGACCCAACACTTGCTTATGAGTGAAAGTATATACTTATATACTTCATCAAACAACATTACTTGTTTGGATTGGAGTTAAATTGATCATGATGTTTTGTATTGCAAAATGGAAGAAAAATGTGGCAAAATTTGAATGTTATGCACAAAAAGTTAGTGATCTTACAAAGCAAAGGCGAAAGCTATCTCAATCAAGAAAATCTTAAGAAAAAAAATAATACAGAGTATCACACATTTACCGTGCTTAAAGAGATTGAGTTTGACTATTACTCTACTAGACTGCTAGAGTACAGATTGAGTGTTTGTTATCAAATGGAAGACGTAATTGCTACTGATTATTATGTGTCGAAAAAATGAAAGATACAACCCCGAGCATTTTTATCACTGCGTATAGAAAAAGAAAAAGAGATAGATCTTGAGTTTACACTACAACCACATTTGGGTCATAAAGAAATCCCTAGAAAGAGATGGCTTTAACCTCCTAATACATCATTAACCAAACTTGCACATTGCTGAAGTTTTCAGTTAAAGGGCTAACGAGCCAACAGGCATTGGTTTTTCGAGCACGCCTGCAGTGATTGTCTCTTCATGTCTGGTTGCTGCATCATACATATCACACACCAGAGAAAGATGTGAATTAAGGGAATAAGGGTACACTTAAAAATTAAAATAGAAGAAAATATTTCTGACAAAAAAGCCTCACCTGGTGCACGTTAAATTCTTTTTTCAGCATCCCCCTGGGTCACAATGGAAAGAATTTTTCCATTCTCAGATTCAGCATCACCCCCTACTTTTCCTCTTGTGTTTTTGACATAGCTTGGCTCATCGTCGTCTGAATAAATAACTTGATCGATGACCTTCCCACAAATAATACAACATCTAATGAAACAAAAACAAACATTAAGAAATAATGAGGATACAAACCCAATTAATTCAGTATACATCAAAGGGTGACGATCGCGCTAATAGTCTAATACATGACTCAAACTCTATGGGAGCATCCTCAACACACATAGTTCTTCACTTTATCTCAGTATCATGGCAAATTAAGAGGTCCGAAACATCAATAAAACACAAACTATGCAATATTCTTTTGTCATACAAATACAGTACTAAATCCCTCATACTCGCTGCTCTACCGAGAAAGTTCATCACAAAGTATTATCCCCCCACCCCAACTCTCCCCCCCCCCCCCCTTCCCCCCTTTAACATAACAGAGAAAATAAACACATTCAGTATATTAATACATTTCAGAGTGACAAAGGCACTAATATGTATCGCGGTAGTGTAGCATCGTTGGTGAACACAATTATAATGTGAACTAAAGCTTCACTTTTTCTCCCATCATATTAAACTGTCTAAGTATCTAGGCAAATTAAGAGGTCCATATACATGGATACGAAACAAACTCAATCAATCGATCACATTACAAATTACATAATGTACTAGCATACTAGAAATGCTTTTTAACCTGGTTAGGACTCTAAGAAACCTATGTAACATAAGAAGAATATACGGAGTAAGATACACAACAAATACATAATACCTTCGTAGTTTACAATAGGGGGCTCCTTATAATTCGAGGTCTAAAAACATGTACAATTGTACACCATATTACAACTTTGATCTAAATTCTAAAATAAGGAATCCAAATAACATATGTTTCAATGCCTATAGATACATGTACACGATTCTTTACAACGATTGATGAAACAAACAAATACACAAGAAATTAAGAGTTTAAGATCATAAGCAAACTCACATTAAACCCAATGCAGTGGTCTCAACCGGCTGACGTCGAGTGCAACTGCTGCACCAAAGTGAAGCCATACCTGTAGAGTTTGACAGAGTAATAAAATTAATACAACCCAACAAAATGTACCACAAAATTATCAACAAACAGTATTTTCTTGAGTTTAAATTCATGATTATACTTCAATTTTTGTATTGTTTTACTTTTTCTTGACAAATCATAACTATTTTGCTCTATATATTCAAAATAAATATCTCCATGATAAATTGTGCATCATTGATCTTATCAGATTAAAAGTGACTGTAATTTTGTAACCAAATCAATAATTCTTCACATATTTTGATATCTCATACAAAAAAACAAGACTAATTAAGTTTCCAATATGTTCCATAATAATTCAATTGTATATAAAATAATGTATCAATTCATGATATTTCGGATACAATCTAACGTAAATAATAAAGAAAAAGAATGAGAGGAAGAAAAATTACCGATAATGGGGTTTGAAGATGCAGATGAACAGGGGTTTGAGGTGGGTTATGCTTGACACATTGCAAAGAAGAACTCAATAAACAAGAAAATCAATTATTGTAATGGAGTATTAGTTTTACCTTGTGACCGGAAAACTAAGATGATGGCTGTGGAAAAGTGAGAGGATGGCGGTTTCCCGGCGAAAAAAGAGCGGTTTTCCGGCGACGAGTTATCAACTCTAGAAACAGAATACTCGGAGTGTTAGGGTAAGGTATCAAGATTTCCTAGAAATGAAGTCCAATTATTGTCCAAATGTTCTTCGGCTCCGCCTAGCAAGGGTATGTTCAAGAGCTCCGCCTTGCACAAGTATGTCCACAAGTATGTCCAAAAGCTAGGCTTGCAAAACAAAGAAGGTTAGTTGCCCCGGGGGTGTGACCCGGGAAAGTCCCTCCGATGCTTAAGTCAGCGAACATACTTTCTAGAGAGAGAAAGTAGAGAAAGAACGAGAGAGAATTGGGAAAAAGTTTCATCATTCAGCTATTTATAGATGTACTTTTTAGGTGGCAGATTTGTACTTGAGTGGAGAGATTAGGAATAAATCAGTACGTTGCCATGACTAATGATGGGCTATATCATAGAGGGGTATTTTCGTCATTTCAAGTCACTAATCTTAGGATAATGGACTTGGCCCATACATTTAGGGCAGATTAAAAAGTTAGGATTTAGCCATTCAAGGCCTCAAGGCTATAGGGTGTTATATGTCATAGTCCGTACATACGATGTATAGTGTAAATAGGTAGCTCGTACACAAAGTTTGAAAATTGAAACATTATAAACGTAAACAACTCAAAATGTTATATATACGAGGAAACCCTTTCTTAAAACTATTTTTAAGGGTTTTATTGAACTTGGAAAGGCAAATTTCCTAAGAATTTGAGATAATTGTTTTTCAATTTTTAAGGGTTTTTCCATTGTTTTCAATTACATTTCATAAAACCCTTAAATTTGAGATAAGAGAAAACCCTTAAACTCAAAAATGAAATGAAATTATCTTCATCTTATAGCCTACCACTTGACTACATCACAAACTTTAAGATAATTTTCAAAAAATTGACCCAAACTTGGAATATACAATATTACAATATTTTACTCCGATTTCATAAGAGTACTACAAAATACTAATGATAAAGCATCTTTTAGACAGTTGGATCAAGGTCTATGATGTTTGAGCTAAAAGGTAAGCGAGTCCAATGTGATGACTTGTGATTTGTTGCAAATATCAATGAAGAAAGATCAGCCTTCAGAAAATGTTTACCATCTATTTTGTTTGCATTACCATTTACTAAAGATATAAAGTTTATTATCATCGAACAAAAAGAGATTAACATACCCACATTTGGGCCATTGAGAAAATCATAAAAACTAAAAGAAGGTAAAACCAAAGGTTTAACCTCCAACTATTGATCAGACTTGCAGGACTAAAACACAGGTCTTCAGTTCACGGGCTAGCTAAGAGGTTTTGATTATCAGAACGCGACTGCAGTGCTTTTTTCTTCTTCTCTGACTGCTGGAGCCCTTTGAATTCCTTTTTCAGCATCCCCATGCTCAATGCAGAAAGAATTTTTCCACTCTCAGTAACAGCAACTTTGATTTTTCCAGGCTCGGTTTTACTGATACTGTCAATGTTCTCCTTGTTGACATCCATAACGCGGTTCTTCCTTCCAGCTGACATTGGAGTTTTGCAAGCAGATTTAGTTGGTGTAACCATGCTAACCGACAGTGGCTTCTTAGTCATGCTTGAACATTTGCTTGGTGTAAGTGTTGGACATGGGACAACATCAATGTCACCAGCTACTGCTTCTTCAGATACCACTTCATTGTCCAGTAGAATGTCAACTGGGCAGAGGTTTGCAGTTTCGACGACAGAATTAATCACTAGGATCTCCTGAATCACATCCTCCTCCACGCTGTCTTTCTCGGATCCTGTCTCATTAACGCTATTTTCGTCTGATTCTTCAATATTGTCCTCATTGGCTTCGTTAGAACCAAGCATCACTTGAGAAACTTGAGCTTCAACATTTCCTGTAAAAAACATGATAATTTTTATTCTCTGAGCAAATAAAATGTAATTTTTTTTCCCATTTAGTCTCAATTCTGGACTTTACTCGTATGATTACTATACCTTCTTGCAAATGTTCATCCACATTGGCCAGTGGGACCTCAGTCTCACCCAAATCCAATTTCTCCATTCCCTTAACCAATGTTTTTTCCTGCAATTTGACAATAATAAAAGTCAGTAATCATAGATAAATAAACTTTTTGAAGAAAAAAGCCAAAAAGAAATTCCTTAAAACTCACTTGTAGTTTCTCCTTGTACATCCTCTTCAATTTTCGCAGACTTTTATGGTTCAAAGGTGTCTTACTTTCTATAGGAACACGTGAACGAACTTGAATAGTTGATTCAGTGTCGAACTGGTTGCCAAGAAGTTCTGCTAGGCTAACTTCAGGCTTTTCAGCCCAATCTGTAGCAGAATCAGTAGTTATGTCTAGTTTCTCAAGCTGGCTCTTTTCAGATTCACTGTCCACGTTAGCTTCCACGCTCAGTAGATCATCTTGGATAGCCAACTCAGAATCAGACACCTCGTCTTCTTCTGGCATCTCATAATCAGACCACTCAGACATCTCATCTTCGGTACAACTACCTTCACTTTCCACATTGGTTTCCAGACTTGGCTTATCAGCTGAATTAAACTCGGTATTGAACTCTTCAGAGTCCTCGTCTTCTGCAGGTTCAGGTACATCAGAATCAAAAGTAAATGTGACCGCCTTTTCAAGCTTGGTGTTTCCAGAATTGCTATCCTCATTGATTTCCAGTGTGACTTGATCAGCTTCAGTAGTAGACTCAGAAACAAACTCGTTGGACATTTGTTCTTCAACATGAGTAGTGGCAAGGTTCTCATCAAGGCTCTCTGCAGCAGAAACAGGAGCACTGGCCAGGTTCTCGAGCTGGCCGTCTTGAGATTCAATCTTGCTTGACTTTTGAACCGTGATGGTTTCCAATTCACTATTAGCAGAACCCAATTTCAGGTCCTCATCTTGGATGGCAAAGTTGGCCACTGCTTCAGTTACCTCCAAAGTTTCTTGGGTCTCATCATCAACAACAATTTCATTGTCTACTTTAGCCACTATTTCACTCGAGTCCGTCAGATTCTCGACATTGAGAAGATCGTTATTACCTGCAGACACAAATTATCACTATTAGAAAATTAACAAATAAAAGTAATATCTACTACTATTACCCTATTAGCATTGTAATTTTATTTTTTTTCACATATTCAACCAACCTTTTCCACTTTCTTCCTGCAATGTGGATTCATTTACAGGTGCTTCTTGAGTCAAACCTACATGTTAAAACAGAATCAGAACCATATGTTAGCACATGGAATTACTATCTTCGCCGCAATTGATACTGCACGATCTTCAGAAATGAGTAGGTACTTACTTTTACTGATATCGCCAATGTTCTCATCGCCATTGTTCTCAGAAACACCTGAAACTTCAGAAATCTCAACACTAGAGATGTCCCATTGCACTGCACTACCTTCCTTCTTCTGAGTACTTGGAGCAGCTGGAGTTTCAGCTATATCATTCTTTCCTTGGTCTGTTTCTTCTACGATCCTCTTCCTTGAAACGCGGCAGGATTTTGTGATCAGCTTGGAGCTTGGTGGCTCTTCTCTACTGATTTTCATTGTGGTACGTGATCGACGAGCACAAGATGAAGTAATTCCTGACATCAGAGGGGAGCTTGGAACTTGAGACTCACATCCCATCAGTAACTCTTGCAGACCTTCAACCTATGAGAATGCAATAATTAGAAAATTAATACACCTAGCGTATAAACAACATTAAAATTAGAGATAAAATGTAGTCATTGGCTTCCAATGTCAGCTATACAAAAATTTAGAAGAATGGTTTAGGTATTAAAAGCCAGATTAAGATATGGTAGCAAAAGAAACTTACAATTTCGAGAGATTCAAGCGAAGCAGCCATTGCAGCATTGGTAGTATTGGCAGGTTTCTTGTTTCTCTTACACAGAGTTTGGAGGTCCCTTCGACTGAGGCTGTGGAAGTCCACCTTACTGTCATTCGACATCTCGGTAGCTTCTTCTTGTGCATCCAAATTAATGACTTCTTGCCCATCATTGACCTGCTGCTCTACATCCTTTTGGGGTTCACTTTGTCCTTCAATTTCCATACTAACTTCGGATACCACTTCTGAAATTACCTTAATCTCACCTACTAAACAAGAAATAGAAACAAAATTTAGGCTCTCAAAATTCAAAAAAGTAAATGACAACCAAATAAAAATCCAGAAAAACCATTACCATGAACCAAATTGTTGTCAGTAACTTCAGATTGCTCCTTTTCAGCCTCAAATTCAGCTTCCATATTCTTCTCCATATTTTTCTGGATTGAGGTTTCCTGAGATGCTCTTTTCTGAGTGGTTCGTGTTGCCGGAGTCTTCCTTGCATCAGTTCCTTCCACTGCTCTAGTCCTTGTACTACAGCGAGTTCTTGTAGCCGTGGTCCGGGGTGCATAAGATGAGTTAATCGCTGATCTTTCAGGGGATCCCTGGGTTTCAGAATCTGGTTTTGCCAAAAATTCAGCAAGTCCTTCAACCTGCACCCATTGAACAAATTAGATTCAATTAAGCCTTTTCAATTAAAATTATTTGCTTATTGAATTGCAATAAAAAAACCATTCCACAAATTTAATTTAACTTTGATCAGGTATTAACTTCATTTCTAGCAAGCTGAACAATCGAATAACAACTTATTACCTATAATAGCTCCGAATTCCAATTATAATGACATATTTTCATTTATACACTAACAATATACAAAGAGAAGACATTGTATAAAAGCCTAAATTTAAACATTAGTCAGGTTAAGCATAAAATGTATGCAACTCACCAGAACATCAAACATCAGAATTCATTTGATTCAAACCACAAATAAAACTGACAATTTAATAAACAGTTTGCTATTGCAAAACTACATGATATTCCGACGATTGAACAAATATGAATCAGATTAGTCATCTTCAACATCAGCATAACTCGAACAGCTCCGAAAGTTACAAAACAGAGACTTGCTATTACACTATCTATCAACATAACATTACACTAATTTAACGATTGAAAAAATATTACTTGTATTAAAATTAAATCTGGACTGCTTATCCTCTTCACACAAATGCAGTAATTCAATTTTTGATTATTAACCATTCAAATTAACCAATTCCTCGAACATCTACCCATTCAGTTCAATTCAATCTTCATAAAACTATTAAAATCCAGATTCATTTAATTTGAAACACGCAATAATTCATCGATTACTCAAACATTTACCGATCAACAAAAAAACACAAACATCTCCACATTTAGGTTCAATTAAATCCAGTATAACAATATTCCTCACAAATAATTCATCAAATAACTAAAACACATTTAACGATTCAACAACAACATCTTCCAATTAAATCAAACAATACCAAACCAAAAAACAAAACAAAACAAAACCCTAGAAAACGAGATTCAACAAAAACTTACAATAGGAAGCGAAGCGAGAGCATCAGCCATGGCAGAATTGGTAGTATTAGCAGGAATATTGTTAAGCTTGCAGAGAGATTGAAGGTCACGTCTCTTGAAGGTTTGGAAATCCATGGATTCTGGAAAGTTCTCTTCAACAGAAAATTGAAGATGAAGAAGAAGAAGAAGAGAGAGAGAAAATTAGGGGTTGAATCAATCAATGTAAGAGAGACAATGATAAATGGTGGTGGCTAAGAGATGAGAGTTATGGGGACTTTATATACGATGGAAGAGAGGAGATTTGTTCAGGGTAAAACTAACCGTTAGAGTGTGAGAGAGCGGAAGATTTTGAATTTGAATTTTGTGTGATTATTTTATTATTTCTGTAATCAGGGTTTGTATGCGATTTTGTTTCCTAAGTGGTATAATTGTTTGTTTCATCGGTACTGAGAATGTGGTTCTTGGGCCTTGGGTATAGGTATTGGGTAATAGGTAGGGGTGTCAATTTGGGTAAACAGTTCGGGTTTGGGTTGGTTTTATCAGTTTCGGGTTATAACGGGTAAATGAGTAGCGGATTAGTTTGGGTTGGTTTTGAAAATCATCGGGTCAATTCGGTTTGGTTTTTTTATTGCGGTTTCTATTCGGGTCGTTGTAGTTGGTTCGGGTCATAATCAGTTTGGGTTGAACCGAGTCGGTTTGAAAACAGGTTTAGCAAGTTAAAAAAGGGTTTTGGTTCAAAATAGTTCGGGTTGTAATCGGTTCGGGTCAAAATCAATTTGCGTTAAACCGAGTCGGTTTGAAAACGGGTTTCGGTTCAAAAAATCGGGTGAAATCGAGGTTTCGGTCATTATCGGTTCAGGTCATAATCGGTTTGGATTGAACTTGGTCGGTTTGAAAACGGGTCTATCCAATTTGAAGCGGGTTTCAATCCAAATTATATTGGGTTACAATCTAGTCAGATCATTATCGAGTCGAGTTAGTCAAATAATGGGTAGGAACAGGTCATGTTATAATCAAATTAAGTCATAAATAAGTTGGGTTTATTGAGTATTGGGTTGAAACGGATCAGATCATAAATATATTGGGTTACGGGTTGTAAACGACTCAGTCATAACAGGTTACCAGTCGTAAACGGTTCGATCTCAACGAGTTACGGGTCGTAAACAATTCGGTCTCAACGGGTTACGAGTTGGAAACGGTTTGGTCATAACAGATTCCGGGTTAAAAATAGTTCAGGTTTATCGGATTTTTGTCGGGTTTAAACTATTTTCGGTTTAAAATGGGTCGGGTTACTATCGGGTTCAGACGCAATCGGTTTGGGTTGTTTTCAGTTTCAGGTTGTAACAATTTGGCTTGATAACGGGTCGGGTTAGTAACGGTTCACACAAATTCGTTTCTGTTCAGTTTCGGGTTAGGAAAAATTAGGTCGGGTTGGTTTTCGGTTTCCAAAAAACGGGTTTTAACGGTTCAGTTCCTTTTCGGATCAGTTCGAAACAGTCGGGTTTAACGATTCAGGTCAGAAACTGACAGCTCTAGTAATACGGAAGATGGATTATGACCTGATTTAATGAATTGTGGTTATGGAGAGACATCCGAACCTGACCTAGTCACGGTGAGACATCTGAATTTGACCTAAGTTGGATTTATAAAGTTGACCGATTTGACTCATTTATTGTGTTTTGTTGTTATATTAGTTTTATCTGCTCGTAATATTAGTGTGGAATAGACCTAAAATCTAACTCGAACAATTAACCTGATCTATTGAGTATTGACTCAAATAGCTAGTTTTGTAGAAGGACTGGAAACCAAGAAAAAACAAGGATCATACACATAAAACTTGATAAAAGAAAATGGTGCCCGATTATAAATTTGGCTCGATTTAAAAGATCATCGTTGTTTTTTTTAAAGAGTAATTTCCATTAAAAAAAAAAATAGTACTCCATAATTTCGTTCCCATGATTATAAATTGTTGAAATCATCTCTTCAATATTTTTTATTTTTTTTTGACAGACTCTTCAATATTTTTATATGTGTGAAATTGTTACTCTGTAGTAAGTTATTTCTCAAATTGCAATTTAAAGGTAAATGGATTATATTCACTAAATAGAGAATGTAAATAGTACGAGTATTTTCATTTATCAGTTCACAAGAACATGTCCATATTAGTCATATCATTCACATCGTAAAGCTCCTGGAATTTGTAAATTAGTATAAATGCATTATACTTCGTATCTAATTTCTTAGGGATATGCTAAGCATCTAATTTGTATGGAATAGTTAGCAAGATACAAGGCATAAATTACCTTCAAGGCTTCAATTTAAATTTTGGTAAACATAGTTTTTGTTTTTTATTTTTATTTTTATTTATTTATTTTAATTTAAAAATATGGTAACCATAGCTTTTAGTTTCATAGTATAATGAGCTTAAAATAATTGATCTACTGTATCTTCCTTTAAATCAAATTGGAAGTCATTGCAAATTTTTAGTACTCTATATATAATAGAAGCAGTACTATTAAACAATAATTTTATATCTAAAATATTAATTCGGATAGTCATTAAGTTCTACGTAAAATAGAAACATTACTAAAATTAGAGGTGTATAAAAACTAGGTGGTTGGTGGTTGGTCTTTCAAAATATTGTTTTAGATTCAAATATAGTTACTTCATGTCTTCATCCTTCGAATTAATGGAACACGGGACATTAAGCAAACATATGCAAGGTTTCATGACATTATTCTAACTCCATTTAAGACAAAAAGTTCATAGAAGTTCAGTCAAATTCAATCGTATCAAATAGCTTCAGGGTTGAAAAAGCACATAATGGCTTAAACGCCCTTAACATCAGGTATAAATCGTCTTGGGCCCCTTTTAGAAAGATCCAGGCTTACAGCAATTCCCAAAAGATCTAAAAGATGTACTCAATTTGATCCAAAATCCCAAATTCCCAATTGGACCAAATCATCTACACATATGTGATGATATATTCACAGAACAGAAATACATCGTTCTCCAATCCTTCAGTTGCTTTTTCAACAACGAACAGTAGTAGGTTTGTAGTCAATCACAAGTACCTTGTCCACGTGGGCAAGGAAGAGGTTTGCAAACTCAACATGCTTCGGGTGTGAAACATACTCTGCAACACCTTCAGTGCTCTCAAATGAGGACTCAAAGATATGAGTGAAACCCTGATGCAGGTTCTCAATGCTTACATCCTTGCCCCTACAACATCATTCAACAGATATTTTTAGGACCCAATTCCAATCCTGTGCAGGTATACAAAATATAGCAAAACAATGCTAAAATATTTATAATGCAATTATCAAAGGCGTACAGCCCAATGTGGCTATGCAGAGAGCCAGCTGAATATCCCACGCCCCCCCCCCCCCCAAAAAAAAAAAAAGAAAATACCTCCTATAGTTCCAGGATTAGTGGAGTTTTTAGGGGCCAAGGAGAACCACTAATGTGGCTGTTCACATACAAAAATCGTTACGAACACGATAGAAGAATCTTCCTTGATACTTCTCTGCTACAATTAGCCCCTCTGCCTTATGCGCAGACAGCAGGCTTCTAACCTGCTGAGCGTAATGTTGGTGTTGCTTTCCTTCTGGTTTACTATGCTAGGACTTCCCCATGGTTTCCTCTATCTCTATCTTTATTGGTATTTTTACTTTCATAATGCCAAGGTCGTGTAGTATTCTCATTCTCTTGTTGGTGGCTTTCCGCCGTACATTGGAGGACAGCATAAAATCTTTTTTCATACTCCTAAAAATGTAACATAAATCAACACAGAAAATTGCCCTAATTCAGTTTTATCATCTCTGAAGTATATGATATATATTATATGTGCATGTTAAGATGTGAGGCTGTGAGCTATCAGCTATAACCTCTGCACAGCTCATGTTACTAGAACTTAGAAACAATTATAGCCCATACCAATTTAAGGGACCAAAAAATAAACAGATATAGCATAATTGAGCAGCAAGTGGCGCCATATACTACTTCAGCAAGAGCACTGAGCTATTGATCAGAGGCTATCATGGGAAACTCCCCTTTCAGAGGCTATTTGTGAGAACTTCAAGAGCTATCTGCATTTCCAGAGGCTCTTTAATTCAGGAAGCAACCACGGCATACCTTGTTAATTTTTTAAAATACACCAACCCCTGTGGCCCTCCATTGCTCCATGCCAAGCGAGTCACTAATATTGCAAAGAAAATCCAGCTAGCAAAGAAGATAAGGCATCAAGAATTTTTAGCCAATTGACTGTAATTGTAACTTGTTAAGCATGGTTCACTTCACCTTATTTTCACTTATATCAGTTTCACTTATTATATAAGAGTCAATAAGTTCAAATGATAAAGGATAACTGGATAAGGCTTGATAAGTTCGGATTAGATAAGGGTTAATAGTACAATAAGGTCTACTAACTCATTATTTGAGATCCATAAAGTTTAATAAGGTCCAATAAATAAGATATGATAAGTTCATGACAAATAAGATAAGATAAGTGAAATTCGGGTGTAGAGATTACTACCTTAGATCCATTTTACTATATGTCAATGCTAGTCCTACTTCACTCTCTGTCTCTCTTACAGTAGTATCACAAGCCTCTTCGGGTTTAGGTTTCTTGCTTGGAGCTAATTGACTTTCATCGAATACAACATTCCACATTCGATACATATCTAATTTCCTACTAAATCTCGACGACACAATCTTTATCCTACTCGAAGACATTTAGTTATTCAGGAATCATCAAAGCTCACCCAAAAACGATTAATTATACAAACCATGATTAGTTGACGTAATCTGTAATCCACAGCATGTATGAACAATTGAGTTATCACAAGACAAGAACAACCCTAGTAAATTACAAATAAAAAAATCACTGATAATTATCACAAATTTCAAAAAGGGCATTCTTATACACTATTGCAAACTAAAGATCACACTCCAAATTGAAGATATTCAACCAAAACTAAGAGAATTAATGCTCAATTTCAAACCCTAGTTTTCCATAGCAGATCAATATAGAACGAATTGGAATGCAAAATAACAAGAAATTGAAGGAATTGAAGGGAAATGAGGTACCAGTGAAAGGCTTTCATGGGTTCAATGTGATTGACGAGATTAGCATAGCCTTTGATGAGATCTTCAATTTGCTCGGGTGAAATGTCATCTTTGAACTTTGCTAACAGTACATGCTTCACCACTGCCCTTGCCTCCTCCATCTCTCACTCTCTCTTCTGAATTTGTGTTGCTCTTTTTTTTCCAGGTTTGATGATAGATTGAAAAGTCTATGATATGGTTTCAAAAGAAAAGTCTATGGCATGCTATCATATTGCCATGACACTTGTGCCACTAATAGAGCTAATCAAGGCGGCCTGATTCCGGCTTTAAATGGGTTTGGGTAGATATTGAGATTTCGTCAGGTTTGAAAATGGTTCAAAAAGTTTGCTTAATAGCCCGACCAACCAGTCTCAGTCTAAAAATACATAAGCTATTTGGGTCCGACCTAAGTTTTCGCTAGCCAAGGGGAAGGAGAAAAAGAGTTTCTGCGACCGCTTTCTTAGGCAGTCTAAATTTTGAAATTTTAGTTGAGATATCGCCCAATTTAAAAATGGACAAAAATCCGCTTGATTTGGCTCAAACATATAGGTTAGAAGGTTAGGGTCTGTTAAGTTCACCTTATTTTCACTTAGTGAACACACTTTAGTTTTTAAACTTACGATTGTAGGTTTAAATTTTTAAACAATCCATACTTTTAAGCAAGTGAAATAAAAGACTCGATTAATTGAGGGGGCACCACGTGGCATATAGGGTTGTTTAGGAATGTCTTTTAATAGAGTATAGATTTGTTTAATACGAAGTAATGAATACTTGTATGTGGTATAGAGCAATAGTTTTCAATTTATACGAGTATATAGACAAAGACCCCATTGTGGATTAGTGACAGGCTAACAACAAGATATTGATAAATACGAAGTATAAAATCCTTTTGCACAATTTTATTTTATTTTTTTTCGAAAAAGACCATCATCTATCACCCTAAAATATATTATAAGCAACAAATCTTGTATGTATTGCAATATTGGACTATGTAGTTTGGAGTTGATTGCTCCACATTTGCCACATACTCCTTACAACTTATGTTTTCCTATCATCATCTTATTATCGTTTAAATAAGTTCAAACTAAAGCTAATCTATTTACTTACAAACTACTAAAGCAATAACAAAAAAAAAACACAAAAAAAAAATCTAAAATGATTGCATGAATAAGAATAGGATGAGTACAAACAATATAAGGAGAGGGGGAATGAAAAATCAAAAAAAAAAAGGGTGGGTGGGGGGGGGGGGGACAATAATATTTAGAAAAACGCATTATTATATACAAAGTATGTTGGTATAAACTGATCGTCATATGTATGTATAAATTTTTTTGTTATTATTAAAACATCTTATTCAATAATAGAATTTGAATAGAATTTGTTTGTCAAAAAAAAGAATTTGAATAGAATTTTATCATTCATGTATCAATATTGCTAAGCATCATTCAACTCTGCATAGGTCAACTAGGTGGTTGATTTTTCAAAATAATTGCTTTAGATTCAAATAAATAAAAGTTACTTCATCTTTTAAATTTTAATGAAACACAGGACATTAAAGCAACATATACAAGGTTTCAGGACATTACTCTTGCTCAAATTATGACTAAAAAAAGTTCATAGAAGTTCAGCCAAGTTCAACCAAATTCAATAACTTTAAGGTTGATAAAATACATAAATATATAATGGCTTACATGCCCTTAACATCAGGTATAAATCGTCTCAGCCTCCATATAGAAAGATATAGGCTTACAACAATCATCAAATTCAAAAATTTAAAAGAAGTACTTAAATACATTCAAAATTCCAATTAGACCAAATAGTCTAGCTACAAATATGTGATGATTAATTTTCACCAATAATAAAAACAAACTAGTTTCACCATTCTACATCTTTTCTTTTAACAACGAACAGTAGAAAGTTTGTAGTCAATAACAAGTACCTTCTCCAAATAGGCAAAATGGAGCTTTGCAAATACAACATGCTTCGGGTGTGAAATATACTCTGCAATGCCTTCAGTGCTCTCAAATGAGGACTCGAAGATATGAGTGAAACCTTGATGCAGGTTCTGAACGCTTACATCCTTGCCCCTGAAACATCATTCAGCAAATATTTTAGGACCCAATTCCAATATAATCATGGGCAAGAATATGAATATAGCAAACATAACACTGAACAAATTTATAATGCATGAAATTGTTCAAAATGTTATTTAGAATTATGTAATACATACGAAGTAACAATTATGACAATGTAGCATCTATAAAATAATTCAAAATATATGATCAAATAAATAAGGATTTTTATTAAGAAAAAATTATTATTTTTTTATTATTCATTTAACCATAATCGTAATGAATCAATATCATTAAACTTTAAAAAATTGTTAAAGCTTTTATCTATTACTCCTTATCAAAAATCATACAATTGAATTATTATACAGTAGATCTTTTTAGAATTTATTTTTATTTTACAATTAGTTTTTTTTTATTTTTTTAAAATAACAATTAGTCATTTGTGATGGAAAATTCACATGGATATACACCCATTAGTTAGGGTAATTTCAAAAGGGGTAAACATTTTACAAAATTGACTTATTAATGTTTATTTGCTTAAATGCATTCCAAAAATCATGCACGCATCGCGTGCATTATAGGCTAGTATATACTACTGTAAGCTAAAATTTTACTCCAAATCAAAGATATTATTCAACCCAAACTAAGAGAATTGATACTCAATTTCAAACCCTAGATTTTCCATAATAGTTCTATAAAAAATGAATTGAAATACATAAAACAAGAAATCGAAGGAATCAACAAAAACTAAGAGAAATGTGGTACCAATGAAAGGCTTTCATGGGTTCAATGTGATTGACGAGATTAGCAAAGCCTCTGATGAGCTCTTCAATTTGCTCAGGTGAAATGTCATCTTTGAACTTTACTAGCAATACATGCTTCACCACTCCCCTTGACTCCTCCATTTTTCTATCTTTTCCTACTTTTTTTATTTTTTTTTATTTTTTAGTTTTGATGAAATGTCTATGACACTTGTGCCTTTATTAATAGAGCTGATCAAGAATAGCCTTACCCAGTTCCACCCTGAAAAATAGTTTAAAATTTGAAATTTTGGTTAAATTTCGCCAATTTAAAAATGGCTTAAAAACGTCTACTTAATTTGGTTCAAAGATGTAGCTAGGTTAGGACACATCAAAGAAGTATTTGTTCTTTCTAGCCTATAAGTCAAATGTTTCCACTTAGTCAAATTTTGTCCACAAGCATTTTATGGTAACATTCATCATTATATCAAAATCAAAGGATATCAAAATTATTCAAACATATTACTTGTATTTAATAAGAGAAATAGAAATATAGTTTTTTATTTTATTTTTTGTTTTATTTTTTATATCAATATTGTTAAGGATTCAACTTAATTTGACGCTAACCTGGTCAATAACTCGATCTTTGTATTGTATTTCGAAGTTTTTACGCATCGTGTCACTCGCGTGTCCTTCAAATAACATGTGTCCAAACACATATTGAACACTGACACGTTAGAGAAGTGGTAGTTCTTTCTATCGTATAAGACACATGTCAACACTTGATTAAAATTTGTCCTACAAACGTTTTTGTTAACATATATGATATATCGATCATTTATTATAGTAGAATCGAACAATATCAAAATTATATGGTAGCAAATTAGATAAGTATCTTTTACAATTTGATACATATAAATATATCTTTCCATTTTTTTTCAAAGAACCAAATTATTAATATTTCCATACAAAAACTTATTCTTGTTAACAAAATTGTTAATTGCAGAATTTGAATGTATTAAAGAACATACAAAGTCTATTTTTTTTTTTAATAAAAAATCGTATGCAATATACCTTTTTTAACATGATATTTGAGAAGGGAAACGAACAATTTAATTCCAACTAGAGGTGTTAAAACTAGACCAAATCCAAAAATATCCGATTTAGATTTCAAATTTGATACATTTAAATATATATCTTTCCATTTTTTCAAAGAATCCAAATTATTAGTATTTCCATACAAAAACTTAATCTTGTTTTTTTTTAAAAAAAAGGAGGGCAGGAAGCATTTCTCTACAACTTGTATCAGAGCCAGGTTTCGATCCTGGGACCTGTGGGTTATGGGCCCACCACGCTTCCGCTGCGCCACTCTGATTCATTGGTAAAATTTTCCCTAAAATAGATAGAACGTCAAATAAAATCAAAATCCAAAAAAAAATAATTCTCACAAGAAAAACGAGCACGTGTCAAATCGTCCGAGTCAACCCAGGTAAAACTCAGAACCGAGTGAACAGAGGTCTTTCTTCCATTCCCAACAACAAGCTACTTCTCTTAGGAGAGAGAAAATCTCACACAAACACAAGAGAGAGAAATTAATTCACAAGAAGAAGAAAATACAGCAATTCGTTCAAGTTTTCGAGGTTTTTCGATCATACAAATTCGTCGGAAATAAATCCCAATTTGATTGATTAATCGAATCCAAATCGATTACAAACCCTAGAATTTTTTGTGATTTTTTTTTGAAAAGAAAAAATCTACCCAGAAACAAAAAAGAGAAAAATCAAAGATGATTTTTTTCCCATTTTGAATGGAAATCATAATCATCTTCTTCCTTTTTAATCAATGGCGTCTTCTCCTATTTCCCTCACCACTTTCCGCTTCTCTCTCTTCTTCGCCGCCGGTTGATCGTCCTTTGCTAAAATAATTTCTCCGTTTTTTTTTTTAATTTGATTTTTTCTGTGTAAAAATATTGAAAATCCGCCATTTTTGTTTGCTGTAAAGTTTGTTAGTATACCCTGTTTTTCCCTTTTTTTTTTTCTTTTTTTTTTTCTAGTTATGGGAAGCTCAGAGTGTGGTGGGGTTAGAGATGGTGGGGCCGGTTCGATAGTGTGGGTTCGAAGGCGAAACGGGTCGTGGTGGCCGGGTAAAATACTGGGTCCGGATGAACTCTCTGCTTCTCATCTTATGTCTCCTCGATCTGGAACTCCTGTTAAGCTTCTGGGCAGAGAAGATGCTAGTGTGTAAGTTTTAATTTGATGTTCTTTCTGTTATTTATGTTCATGTTGATTGCATATTAGAATGAATTAAATTGGTATTTTTATATTAATTTTTGGGTTTTGTTTTTCATGACTTGGGTACAATGTAGTTTGTGTATGTTACGGGATGGGGTTGGTTTAGTCATGTAGAAGAGGAATGATTGATTCGATGAATGGAACTTTGTATATTCGAACCGCCACGAGCTGCTAATTTGCCCTGAGTTTTTATAAAGTATTAGCATAGAGCTTGTGAGGTGCCATTATAGCTGTATGAGATAGTTTAGGGATTGAAATTTGGTTGGATTGTTTTATTTTCTTGGGAGAGAGCGGTTTTCCATGATGAGTATGTAATGATGTTGCCGAGAATGTTGGTTAGTTTAGGGATTTAGGGTCATTGGAAGGAAGGGAGGGAATGTGGATATGTGAGGAGGGTAGGTTTACTTTTTGGTTGAAAGATAGATTGAAGCCTAGAAGTGCTAACTGGTGAGTGGCGTTTGTTTGTGGGTAGGTGGAGTGAATCTTGGCAGAAGGCTGTATGTTACTTTTGAGCTGTAACATCCCGACTTATCATCAAGGGATTATTGGTATCAAATTGCCATCGACCAAGTTGCAATGGGAAGGTATAGTGTTAGTAGCTGTTTGTGTGCTAGGATAGGAGGTGGGTTGAGAATCTTAGCAGGAGCAGGGGGTGAGGTTGGGTTGATGTTTGCACTAGTAAGAACTTGGTTGACAATCAGTTCTAGCTTTCCACTGCTGAGATCATAGACTTTGAAGACACATCTTTGTAAGATCTGCCTGAAATTTTAGTGATGCACATTTGTTAGTAAGTTGGGAAGCGACTTGTATATTTCTGATAAATATCTTTTTTGCCCTTGTTTTGCTCGAGGAGGACGAGGACCTAAGGACACTGAAAAAGCTTTTACTGGCCAATACACTAGTGACTGAACTAGATATTAGTAATACTCTGAAATTAGTGTAGTCGGAGTGTCAGATCACATGCTCACCAACTTTTGTAGGAAGAGTGAAAGCTATCATATCCCTTGAACTCTGGAAGCAAGAAAGCTGGAAGTTGAATACAGATGCTTTGGATTAAGGATAACTGTTTGTTTTAAAGGAATTATAATATTATTGTTTTTCTTAGATTACTAATCTCCTTATCTGGTTTGCTAGTTTACTTCACCCACATCCCTCTTACGTCAAGTTGTCAGTTACTTGAGGGTGGTCAAACACTCGCAACAAATTGTGTACATACCTGTTTAGTGCTTCAATTGATGTCAGACTCCTTAGCCTTCATGCAGGCACTACCCTTTCTATCTATCTCCATATCTATGAGGGTAGCTAAAAATATTTGGACTTCCTCTGTGGCTCTGCCACAAATGACTGACAAGTTGGTAGTACTAATGCACACCTAAGGCCTAAACATGCTTTGGTTGGTAAAATTCTCGTGGAAATAGCCGATATACTATTGCACATTTAAGACCTAACTGTGCTGTGGTTGGTGAAAGTCTTGTGGGAATGCTATCCTCTTAAAAAAAAAAATCTGCTACCATTGTCTAAAATATGATGGCCCTGTCATCTAATTATTCCGCTGGTGTTCCAATATTCTAAGAGGTACCATGTGTTGTAGAATTTACTTGTCCTTCTTCAGTTCCTACTATCACTTGTTGGTATGTTTTGTAAAAACATCCATGCTCTATACCCCTTTTAAGCATCTTTTAGTTTGTATTTTCCTTGTCTTAAAATACTTGCTTATACATGTTCAACCTGACTCTAAATTCTGGTTGGCATCATGTTATCTACTTGTCTTGTGTGGTCTAAATAGGTGGGTGGTGCATAGTTACTACTGTCATGAGCCTACACATGTATCTCTAGTTAATTTTTAAAAATATTATTATATTCTATTACTTTCTGCTGTGTTATATTCATAGGCATGCATCTTATCAGGAAGCCGAATGCTGAAATTCTGTTATTTGAACAAACATGATCTCTCTTTCATTCATCAAGCGTTTTGTGTGCTTTTCACATGAGTGAAGCAAATATGTTGAACAGGAATCACAACACTGCATTTCTTCGTCCTGATTTCCTATTAAAATTTTATGGATATTTTCTCAGGGATTGGTACAATCTTGAAAAATCGAAGCGTGTGAAGGCATTTCGATGTGGCGAGTTTAATGATTGCATTGAGAGAGCTGAAGCCTCCGTGGGACTCCCTGCAAAGAAACGTGAAAAGTATGCACGGCGAGAAGATGCCATACTTCATGCTCTTGAACTTGAAAAACAATTTTTTGAAAAGAAATATGGGAAATTAGGTAGCACTCATTCCATGCGAGAAAAACAATCAGATTCTGAAAGAAAGGACTTAGTTAGATCATCCGGAGTTCTGGAAAATGGTAATGGGAAACTTGGAAACCATGAATCAAGTCAACTCGGCAGGACAGTTGATATATCTAAGTTAATGGAGAGAAAATCTGTTCCCTTGTACACTCACAAAGCTATAGATGGAACTCATCCAAGTTTAGAAGGTGGCACTGATTTGAGCCGTCAAGTAAGAGAGTTGCATGCTTTTGGCCTTAAGGCTGTGGCTAATAAAATGCTATACACTTCAACTATGTCTGAAGAATCTAATAGAATGGCAATTGATGGTCTTGCATATGCTGTCCCAACAGCTGATCACCGCTTTGAGAATTCTAGTTCATCTGATTCTAGGAATTCCCTTGGCAAGCGGAAGCGGTCACTGGATGGATCTGTTGAGGAGTCTCTTCCAAAAATGCATGATAGGCTGAATTCCTTTGTCAAGGTCAGGCATGATAATGCAAAATTTCATTCTAGTTCTTTGCATCCTGATGTGCAAAGAAAGGGGCTTCCCATTGCTGGTAGTCATCGTTCTATGTATTTTTCATCCGAGCCGCGTGAAATATTTGTTACCAAGCAAGGTAGTCTGATAGAAGCGCCAGTTACCCAGCTTGAGGTGGGCACCTGCCAATCTCAGCACAGCGCTTTTGCAGAAGTGTCTACTTCTGGGTCATCAGAAGAAACTGAATCTGATTCATCTGGAACCCGATCT